TATATACATATATATATATATATATATATATATATATATATATATATATATATATATATACTTGGGGTGCATATTCTTATGATAACCCTAACTATTGTATAGTTCGAATCGAAGCTGAATTGATGTACTATATTGGATGAGTTAGTTTATATGACCAATTTATGATGATTGTATATGTTACTATATGTTGACTTTATATATATTTATATATATATACATATAATCTATTTATTTAGTATATGAGTTGAATTATACCGTGCGTGACACACACAACACACTCTCTCTCTCTCTCTCTCTCTCTCTCTCTGGATAAGGAGACTTCGTTCTGTCAATGGAAAAGCCAAGAAGTAAGTACAATATCAAGAAAGACAGCAAAGCCAAGTTTCCCCCGAAGCCAACCTTTTCTCCCTCCTCCTCCTCCTTCTTGATGCCCAAGAGAGTGATGGAACCCGAGGCCATGGAGTTCGACGAATCCGAGTGGCTACTCGCCGACGACTACTTCGCCGTCTCCACTATCGGCATCGACGCCGACTGGGTCATCACCGATGGCGACGAGGGCGCCGTCTCCGGAGTCTTCTTCCACACCGTAGCCTCCAAGCTCCGCGGGTCCCGCCCCTCTTACGCTCCATTTGGCCGCCTCCCAACTGACCTCGCCGACCCCTCCCTCGCCTTCCTCCCCACCGCCGCCTCCGCCCGCTCCTCCTCCCGTGGTCTCCTCCTCCTCGTCGGCCCCTGGTCCACCTACTACGTCTGCAACCCCGCCACTGCTAAGTGGCGCACCATCCCACGCCCACCGAGGCCTCATCTCTACTGCCGCACCCCCTCCCTCGCCCTCGCCCTCGTCAACCTGCCGGACGGCCCCGCCCGGTTCTACGTCGTGTGCGCCGACGTGGACGAATCCGCCGGCGGGTATCGCTTCCAGATCTTCTCATCCCCCTCCGGCACGTGGCAGGAGTGGTTCGCCGTGACCACATCAGCCGATCCAATCGTCCCCTGCTCCGGCGTCTCAGCCGCCGGCGTGGCGTACTGGCGAACGTCCGCCCCCGCAGTGCTCGCCTACGATCCCGAGGCCGACGAGGCGAGGGTGCTCCCGCCGCCCCCGGGGTGCGGGGACGCCGGCGGGCCGTGGGAGCTGGGCGAGGCCGGCGAAGACGGGCGGTTGTGCTGCACGTGCGTGACGGAGTCAGCGGTCGTGGTATACCGCCTGGGACCGTCCGACGAGTGGTCCATCCTGGACTCCCTCCCCGTGACGGTAGTCGGCGGCGACGAGGCGGTGGAGCAGGAGAGCGGTGTTCCGATCGCGTGCAGGGCGCCCCCGCGGCCGTTGAGGTTCGAGAGCACGAAGCTTGAGGTGGTGCTGTGGGTGGATGGCCACGTGTTGGCGGTGGACCTGGAGAGCCACCGAGTGAGGGAGGTCCAGTTCGACGGGCCGGCGCCGGGTGACGTCGAGGACCTCGTGTCTTACGTCAGTACCGAGGCTCCCATGGGCCCCGTGAAATCCAGCTGACCGACGTTGACGCTTCCGTTCAGCTCCGTGAAGCGCACACAGTTTCTCGGTGCGCAGTTTGTTCAATGCAAATCCATCTTCTAATTCTGCCACATATCAACTACTTCACCGGCGTTCTTCTTATGTGACTATTGAGCCAAGAATTATGTGATTGGATGGCCAATTCCGTGTCTGAAAAGTTTGACCTGGATGGTCTTGTTGGTGTAAACAACTTTAAGCCGTGGTCTCGGGCCGACGCAGTTTGATTCGGGTCCGGATGATGGGGGATCTTCTTGGGACGTTTCTCGAGACTGTCGAGGTGGCCGATTACGGTGGTCCGATCGGAACGCGGTCATCTTTTTCTCCGGGAAGGGGCTCCTCGCCTGGGTGTTTAGCGGAAGACCTTAGCCTTCGCACCTACACAAAGGTCGGGTCGGGGAGCTCGGCCCGACCCCTCCGACGATCAAATTAGTGGATGGTGAAGGGGGGGTTCTTTAGCTCAGTCCTCCTCCCTTTCTCCTCAGAGCATAAGGGTTTTTATAGTAAGAATTATCGTTGCATGATGTGCCTGCCCATAGGGAGCAGAATCGTACTTCTGGTAATGTCTGACATTGTTGTTGGCGTGGTGTGAGGGATCGAGCCTGAGCAGGGTGTTAATGTGCCTTGGCAAGCGTTCCAGTCTGCGTTGACCGGGTGGCTCATCAAGTTGACAGAGGCGAGATGCGTCACATGATGCAGTTGATATCACGTGAGTCTTATCGCAATTATTACCCTTGTTAGTGTAAACAACTTTATGTCATGGCCTCGGGGCCGACGTGGCTTGGTTGGGGTCCGAATGACGGGGATCTGGTACGGCGTCTCTCGAGATTGCCCAGGTGGCCGATTACGGTGGTCCGGTCAAGACGTTGCGTCAAGAGGAAAGCTTTTCCGCAACGCCGGGAAGAAGCAACCCCGTCCTTACACCTGCACACAAGTTGGGTCGGAAGCTCAGCCCGACCCCTCCGACGATCAAATTAGTGAATGTGGAAGGGGTTTCAGGTAAAGAAGTGCTCTCCCCTCTCGTTTAGAACTCGGGGGTATTTATAGGGCAATTTAGTGTTACCTGATGTGCCTGCCCATGGGAGCAAGATCGTACCTCTGATGGCGTCTGACATCGCCATTGGCGTTGCATGGAGAACCGAACTGTCGCAAGACATGGGCGAGCCTCGGTCGTCGTTCTCCTCTGTCTCGGCCAAGCATGTTGGGTCAGACAACGACAAAGTCGTTGTCTGAGAGCGGGTGACGTCAGCGCACATCGCGTCGGCATTATTGTTCTCTTTGGGGCAGAGTGTCGTCCAGACGTGGTTGACGTCGTGACGTGTCATGTCGCCATTATTACCCTCATTAGGTATTACAATGGATTCAAGTCAATTAGCGACTCAATTATCCTCTTTACGGTCTTACAGCTGAGGTTATTCTGGTTACGTTCCTATCGAGCTTTAATGCTAATAATAATCACAACTCAGGTACGCAATGGGTAAATTAGACCGATTCGCCCGCGTCAGAGTTGCGTTGACCAGACATCAGCAGACTTGGTGGCGCCGGTGCACCCACAAGAAGACGTCCTGCAACAGCTGCACTTAATATAACAGTCTACAATTGGGAATTGCCGTATACATGACCGAAAGGAACGACGTGTTCGGTGTAGGTCAACATCCACAACTTTCTTTTAGTGCGTATTTAAGGCTACAACTGGTAAGCTTGTCGGACCAAACTCTTGAGGATTCAACTTTTCTCTCAACCACAGACGAAAAGTAGCAACGCAGACCATAAAGGAGTCCTCGCGATGTCAACCTTTGTTGACTTCAAAGCGCTTCTTTCTTAGTTTACCTCGGAGCAAATGCGGAAGTCAATGTTCTGACGGCTATCACGAGTGGGGTGTGATGGCAGAGCGTTGAAAGGAATTCCTCGATGGGGAAGAATTAAATGCAGCGTCGATTGGCGCGTCAATTCATGTTGCGACGCCTAATGACAGTTAAAATATGGACGATGAGGGCCACTTCTTACGTTGACTTCCCCGAAATATTCGTTGACTTCCCCTAAAGAATTGCTAGTAACAGGTGATTCTAAATATATTATAGGCTCATTTTATTGCGATGATTCTTCGAGATAGGAAATATGACCCAATTAACATCCAGTCTATTATGATCGTTCTATCCACCTCATTCGATCCATATCATCTCTAATTTTGTCTGTGACAATCGGAAAAGGAAATCGAGCCGAAGGATTAATTTAAAGGCCTGCCGACGACAGGCCAAGTGATTGCGTGCGCCGCCGCACTCAGCGAACGACACAAAGTATTGGAAGACGCCAAGCGCATACTTCACTCCGCTCCACTGACGCTCGTCGTCTTATACCCACTCAGCTTCCCCCAGCGAAACCGCGTCGACCCACCCACCCACCCACCTCTACATCTCCTCCGACATGAAGGAGGTGAGCGAATCCCTCCTCTCGTCGGCCACGGCCTGCCCCAGCCGCCCCTCCCCCTCCGGCCCCCTCCTCTCCAGGGTCCGGTACAAGCTGTGGGCCCTCGCCGCCGTCCTCCTCCTCGCCCTCTGGTCCATGCTCGCCGGCACGTTCACGCTCAAGTGGTCCGCCCGCCGCCCCTCCGACGACCTCGACGGCCCCCTCCTCGAAGACGTCGACGTCCTGGTCCGCCGCCCCCTCCCGCCCCAAACCTTGTCCTCCCTCCTCTTCGATGTGATGCCTCACCGCTGCTTTCCTTGGCTCTGTTGTCCCTGTGTGGGTACAGGAGATGGAGGAGCGGGCGAAGGTGGTGAGGCACATGTGGGACGTGTACGCCCACAGCCACAGCACCGGCCGGCTGCCGAGGTTCTGGCAGCAGGCCTTCGAGGCGGCCTACGAGGAACTCTCCGGCGACGACCCCGCGTCCAGGGACGCCGCCGTCGCCGAGATCGCGAGGCTGTCGATGCGGATGGTCGATCTCGAGCCTCCCCCGCAACACCCAAAGGTAACTATCCACTGCAAATTAAGCTCGAGATCATGTAGTATGCACTATATGCGTGTCGACTTCCATCCCTTGGTGTCTTCCAGAACGCTGAACCGGAGACCGATCGAAGCGAAGAAGACATCGGGCCGAAGTCGAACTCGTCATCATTCTCGTCGGCAAAAGCTCGGTGACTGTGACCGTCGGAATTATTCGGCATCAACGCTTCTCATGACGAGCAACACATGTAGCGGAGCACATCACAAAATGTTTGTCCTCCTCCTAAGTTCTTAGAATGGGGAGCACGCAAAGGCAACGCAATATGCTCTGACTCCATCTTCTCATGTGGTTCATGCAGAGTCTCTTTGTTGTCGAGGAAAACAATAAAGCTATTGTTATAGATGCGTAGTAATACAATATTTTCCTTCGATTAAATCATAAATTGGTAAAAGATATTTGAAATTAGACATAAATTTAGAAAAGAAATTGGAAGGCACACAACATATTTCTAACAACAATAACAATGTAATTTCAACAAGATAGGCCATCATTAATTATGTACTCTATAAACAATTACAGATTTTAAGATAAACACATATATAATAATAGATAAAAATTATTTATTATTTATCAAGCACTCAAAAGTATTCTATAAACTATATATTCATTCAAAAAAATAATTTCTCCAATAATATAATAAAAATATATATATAATTCTGAAACGCAATCAAAATGGTCAGAAGGAGAGGCACGCTGCCCGGCCCAACACAAAAAGGGCCCACGCGGAATCCTGCCATTGGGAGGAAGATGCGTGTTCCCTGTCTCGTCGAGAAAGGTAGTCTGCACTGTTGAACTCTTACGTGGCACGAGATCATCCGTTGGTCTGTTCCAGAGTCACAAATCTTAGGTGCACGTAGGCTTTCGCTTGATGCTCGGGACTTTGGGGTACGCTTAGACGCAGGCACATCGCAAGGATGGGTGCGACAAAAAACACGAAGATCCTCTCCAAGCATGCCTGCAACGATCCTTGTCCAAGTCATGTCATAGCCGTCGAATAACGTGGGCCTGACCGACACCGCAATGGCTGGACCGTCGTGTTGATCGTGAACGGTCCATTTCATGATCGAACTCGCAAAAGGATTTGGAGAGAATCTTCGGCCTAATAAAGCGGGTCTCTTCTTTCACTGAGCCCTCCCCGAGTTCTCAAAGGGGAGTAGCTGCGGCGAGAGGGACGATCTCGGTTTAGGGGAGTCGAGAGGGAGGGGTCGTGGAATAATGGCGGGGATCGCTCTCTTGCTCGATTTCTTGAAGAGGAATCCGAGTTTGTCCACTCAATCCCTCCACTCCTATAGCTTGTTCTCGGCCACTGTCGCCGCGTCGGCCGCGGCGGCTTCCGTCGCCGCCGGGAAGCCTTTTGCCTCTCGGGCGATCTTTGGGTGCGCTTCCCTCGATAATCCTTTGTTTTTTGTTTCATTTGCGACAGGAGAGTATTAATCGGATTCGATTCGTTCTTGGTTGGCTACGGGGTGCGGCTCCGTGTCCCAAGAAATTGGTCATTTTTGGGTGTCCTGTAACTAATCTAGCGTTTGTTAGATAAGGCTAAGTATATTTTTCGTCCTTTGAGGTCTGCCATGATTTGGAGTTTCTCTTAGAAATTGTCGCTGATAAAGTTATTGTTTCTGCAATGACATACTTTTAGAGTTGATGCTTGTTATATGTTAAATGCATCAGTTTCTTCTATTTCATATATGTGAATCCTGAACCAAGAAAAGCAATACCTTCGGTCGAGAGGGTGTTCTTTTTCCTGACAAAGAAACTGGGAAGCATGTCTCAGATACAGTCACCAAACGCTTTGAGTAATCTTTTCTCTTCGAGCCTGGATTGCTTCTAAGAGAGGCATTTTCTTTTAGGAAACTTGACTGTGGTTTAGCTACATTGCTTTCCATCATGTTGATCTTAAAATCTGTAAAGAAATATACACATTCGCGTTTAATACGTTATACACGCATAGTTATTTGACATGTTGGGATCCTGGATACTGTAATTGGTAGCATTAACTATTATTGGATATATTTTTGCTTATATTTGCTAAACTTTTGATTCCATGTTAATATGGAGTTCTGTAATCTTTGATTTCGATGGTTTCTACTTGTCAACATTTCAGTGACTGTGATCTTCCAATTGCTTATTGTGATGCTGGTGCAAGTGCAACATGGGATGCGGAGTACATTCCTAATGTCCGAAGTGTTTCTGAAAATATTTTACCCATCTCATTCAAGTACAGAACAAAGGAATATCCTCTAGAGCTGAAACCTCTGTTTTCAGCCTTTGGTTTTAGGTCTCTCACAATAACATCGTTGAGGTCCTTTTTGTTGTTCTATTTGCCTCTTTTGGAACCTCGCCCTCCCGTGGAAGAGAATGATGATTTTCTGCATGAGGCTCCAGAGGAAAAGCCTGTAGATTTGGTCACTCCTTTTCGGAACTCGGTGAAACAAATTATCCGTGAGGTAAGAACTTTAATCCGGACATTCTTTTCTCTTGTTTTTCATTTGGCTGGATGTTGATTAGGCTTTTCAATTTCTTTAAAATATGTTTTGAACCACCGAATGTGATTCTTAGTGGTTGTCTTTGGTTGATCATTTGAAAAATTCAATGATGATACTTTCAAATAACTACTTAACCGAGTAATTTAAGTTTGTCTTGAGAACATCCCTGCTTAAACCTTTGATTATTGATTGTGTCATTGGTAATATGGGTTTTTCCTTGGACTTACTATAAAATAATCTTAAAGTTAGAAAATGGGGAAAACTTTATATTACTAGGATCAGCATACATCCAAGTTTTAGTTTTTGGGAAAAAAGGGCACAAGACTAATTGCATGATATAAGATATGATTTCTTAAGCCATTCCTATTTTGATGGTAATCTAATGAGCCTAGAACCACATGACCAAAAAGTCTTAAGCACAAATTAATGTTAATATGCTCATCTAGCCTTATATATCATTATAATCATTCTTTCATTTCCATTATAAGACTGTTTGGAGTGTCACAATGTTCCCCACTTAAGGGCTTGATATCACCGTTAAACCTTAAAGCCAAAACATAGCTCAGAGTCTAGATTTATGCCCTAGTAAGTGACATGAGAGGTTCGACACAATAATTGTTCCATGACAAGATGTATCTCCAGCCCCAATTGTGATAACTCCACTCATGGAGAATTTGACCCATTACTTGATGTGAGTAGTACCATATGAGCTAAAATGCTTAAATCCAAGTTGATGATAGTAAGCCTATGTAACCCTATATATCATTGCAATTATCCTTCCACTTTTGATATGAGACTTCATGGAGCATTACTCCAATATTTTGAGTTGGGCAGAAACTTGAATCTCAGTCAAAGTTGACCAGGCCTAAGGTGTTTGGACAAAGACAGCTGAAACTTCTTGGTGGGTTAGGCAGAAACCAAACCTGCCATCTACTCCAAGAGTTTGAATTTTAACCAACCTAACTTTTGGCCCTTTTGTCTCAGAAACAGTCAGCGCTGCCCTCTAACAGTTCTAGTATGGCTGTGGATAAAATTAGGATGTTCCAAACAACTAAGATTTTCACAAATGAAAGAACACCTTTGTTGTATCTTATATGTGATTGTCTCTAGTTTAAAACACTGAATCAATTTAGTTGCATTTGCACAATTTTTTAAGAATCTATTTGTACCCTCTATTATGCATTATCAAGATTATGAAAAGTGGATGCAGAGTGTAGGCAGTTTGTTCACTGAATTCTGTATATCCAGTATCCTGATACATATGCAGATGAAAATATGGATTCTATTTTAAAATATAAATAAAATAAAATTGTGAAAAATATAGGAGTGACCAGTGAACTAGATTTCAAGCAATATAATTATACTTCATAATAGATGATGATATATCTTACTTAACACACTCAAGCATAGTAAAACAAATTTGCATGCAAATATTTGAAATTATAATAAACAACAACAAATTATTTTAAGAAATTACTGCTTCCTTCTATGCTTAACTAGAAGATAAATGTGTATTCCAATATTCATGAGATAATGTGAAATGCACAAGCTTGGCAAAGTCCGATATCAAGTAGACATATAAAAATCTGATCATACTTTTAGTCATTTAACAGTCTTTTGTGGCTCTTGTGCTGTCATATACGCCATATGAGTTCCAACTATACAGATGACCACATATTGGCATGTGTGATTTGTTCTATTGACTGAAACCCAACATACATCATATTGACTTCTTCTAATTAGGATGCCCATTATAATGCTTATATGCTTGTGATACTGGAGTGTAATGGAGAACTCACAAGTAGAGATTGTAGTCTGAATATCGTACAAATTGAGGCCGAAAAATATCTGCTACTTAATTTCCAATCTATTTCTAGAGATGTGCAACATTCAAGGATGTAAACCTTGAATGTAATAATAGAGAAAAAGAATATAAAAAAAGGTAATATTGCATAATAATGACGCATTAAACTTGACGTAGGTACTTGGTTATCAAAAGTCTCTAAGCTTACAAGGTAAAATCGCATGAATTTATCCTCTTCAGGACTTGCATCGTCTAAAGTCTTGTGCTCTAACGTGGTCCATTCTAGTTGTTGTATAAGATGCAATACTGTAGTGTTTTACCACCAGGTTCATTATAAACTGATTCATCAATGTGGAGCTGTCTATTGTCATTGTTCATATTTACCAATTATTATCTAATATAACTGCATACAGTATCAATTAACAGTGAGTGGTTATGTTTATAAAGCACAGTTTTCTTTGAGTATTGTTGCCTCAATAATTACTTTTGCTAGTCATTCTGAACAAGCTTCTTTTCAAAGGGATGTGGCTTGAATTCCACATCTTTATGGAACGTGGCTTTAATTTCTTGTATTTCAGACATCTGTTGTAACAATAAGGCGGGTGCTGGAAAGATTGGCTGTCCATCATGTTTCACAAAGAATGGCATGGAAACTTCTTAAAGGTATTAGATCTTATTATATGTTGTTACAATGAGTTCTTAGGTCCCTTCCACTAAGCTATTGATCAAATTAATGAGAAATTTTCAAATCGATATGCATGAGTAATATCCATGCTATATTCATTATATTTCATTTAATTTCTGATGACTGAACTTTCATGACCTGTGGGAATTTGGAAATACTAGTCATCATGTTTTAGATGCTCCTTTTTTTCCCTTGAAACAATCATAAGTTAATAGAACCTTTTTGGTTATGATGACTAAAGTTTGTTACAGATCAAAGAATCTAGCCACCTTAAAATTCTTACAGTATTCCTGGTTGTAGGTTCTACTTAAAAACCCTTTAGGACCTAATATAAATTTTTTAAAAGTGATCAATACTCTTAATATCTTAATTTATTGGGAAAGATGTGCCAATGATACACAAGAACGGATAACTAAACTCACAATGGTCTTAACGCTTTAAAAGAGATTCTTTCTTAAAGTATAAGAAACTGACTCCTCAACAAGGTACTTCATCCTACAAGATATGTTCATAGGCCTAAGAACATGCAGCCCTCATTATGATTCTATGTTGTAAAAGATTTGTTTAAGAGTCCTCAGAGATGATTGTTTGGCACAGCCATGAGAAAGCTCGAGGGTCTTCCGGATTTGATTGGCATTGCCTCAGGGAAGCCCAAGGATCTTCAAATATCTTTTGGCATACCTTTAATTCCACCAAGTTGAAGTGAACTCCCATAGATGCACTAGCATTGTGGTCTATTGGAGACCATTTTCCTTCTGCATTCTTAAGATTCATAAAGATATGAAGAAAAAAACACACAAGAAGATGGTACATTGTTATACTTATTTTTACCTTCTTGACATCATTGCACTAAGATCAGTATATGGCATGCTGAGATCATCGCACCATGTCTATGTCACCTATCGTTCTCAGCTTGCATTCCAGTTGCAGTTGCTGTTGTATCTTATGGATTTCACAATACTATTTTCTTATTTTGGTGGATTAACAAAAATGGCCTTAATAGTTCATATAGGATAATTTGAGACGTGTCTGGTTCTTGTTCTGCTGCTTGACCTGATAAATGTGGTTCACAATGTGCTGTAGTTGTTATCAAGCTTTCACCAACTCCCTAACTTGCATAAAGTTAAGAAATTTTCTATCTTATTTTTTATTGAAGTAACATTTCCAGTATATGGCTCACGGGGACAAAGGGACAGGTATATTCCTTCAATATTGGTTCATGTAGGAGTCCAATTTTGTGGCGGTTTAAATGTAACAAGTGCATTATCCATTTGTTTATCCTACTTGTGATGAGAATAGACTAGCTACCATCTGGTAGAGGATTTGAGTTGACGCATTAAATTTAGACATACATGTCAAATTCTTATCTTCGGATGAAATTTCTGAGTGGAAAAGATTGCCTGTTGACTTTTTTTAATTTTCTTTAATGTATTTGGTTTTGCTTCGACTACCGAGGGTTCTGAGTTTGGTTTTTCAGATGTTCCTAAGTCAGCCAAACGCAAAGCTGCAAGGGGTATGCCAACTCTGTCGTTTTTATATAGTGTCAGCGGAACAACCTTCAGAGGTTAGGCTTTTCTTGTTTCTTACTTCCAATTTGATCTACTATCTATTTATTGATTTTTATGCTCTTCTGTTTTTCTATATTAGGACATTTGTTGGGTGTAGCTGCATCATGGATTGTCCAAGTGGTTATTGAGATCTACAGATGCTTTTTCCGTAAGAATATCAATGGTGATGAAGATATTAGCATCAATGAAAAGATCAGGCTTTTCAGGAGAAAGTTGTATGGGACAACTGTAAAGTGCAGCGCGTCATTAGTTTTTGCATCTGTTGGAGCAGGCATTGGAGCTCTTTTTAATCCTTCAACCGGCCAGTGGATTGGTAAGTACATGTATTCATTTACACAAAATAACCATGCAAAAAGGCACATATGAATACTTTAGTTCTGTCTTTGGAATTATCAATTTTTACCTGTGTCACATATTGGTGTGCTGTTATCGACGTACTAATATAATTCTCCATAAATATAATAAACTTGGTGTTGAAAGAAATATCCTCCGAAATTTAATATATGAAAACTAAGAATAGAATCTACTTCTTTAACCCTTACTTTGGGTTAGGATGCAACTACCTGATCCTTTCTTGATCACCACATAACTGAGGTAAACCTTATAGGTACAAGCATATAGATTCCATGCATAGACCTGTTTAAATGCATGACGCGTAGCAAGAGATACTATGTACATGCTAATTTCTGGAAAAAATGGCAATTTACAATCTGAAGATTGCTACCCTATGTTCAACTATTAATGGACTATAACCACAAGTTTTCACTTGAAGGATGGGTTGCTAATTGGACTAGGAGGTAGAAAGGAAAGCTAGCAACGTGTGGGATGAATATCTGTGCGCCCTTAAGATGCTTTATACAATGAGATCAAGCAAGATTATGATTGATGGAATATGATATGATAAGTACTTACAGATATAAGAAAAAGCCAATTGTTTGGTTGCTTTTCATTGTTTACCTGGTGTAGCTGCTGAGTGGTAGACACTGAAACTAGCTTAGTTTACTAGATTTAACCTTCTCATGGTATCAAACAAGTCATTATTTTGTTTTATGGAGTAAATTCTGCCACTATGGTCCTGGTCAAGGTCAAGGCCCCGTTTAGAACAAATTTCATATTGTTGTTAAACTTCATCTGCAACTCTGTAAATACAATTCAGGAACTTCTTACATAACAGAAGGAGCAATTCTCCTTCGAATCATGGTTTTGATGGCAAGTTCATCTTAGCGATCTAAATAATTTTCTTGTCAAAGTGTTTTGTCTGCATTCTATAGGAACATATAACACCTCATATTTGGGTGTGGACACTGTATTTTCTTCATAAGCAGTACATGTTTGCGTCAATCGATTGCACATTACTCCAGTAGTTTGGTAGTATGACATTGCAATAGTTTGGTAGTATATATATATATATATATATGTCTGCTTCTGTGGCTACTGATGATTCTTTTTCTCATTGTCAAGCTTGGAATGTGCCTTCCCTTGAAGCTGGAAAAGTGCTTTCCATATTTAGGCTAAGTTTACATGTTTGCTGACCCTAAAACTGGAGATGATGATATTCTCTCCGTTATAACTCAACCTTCATACTCATGTTTACTGCTCTGCATCGATGTTTCTGTAGGTTGTGCTCTTGGAGACTTTTCTGGGCCTATCATTGCCATAGTTTGTTTCGAGAAACTTCATTTGCAAATTTGAGAATGCGGCAGCAAAGGTATTTTGCTAAAATCTGGCACCTTTTGTCTCTTCTTTGCCAGACAAATCTTTCAGCACTTTCTTCCTCCAAGAATTTGTCAGTAAACCAGATGCTGATCGGTAACAAATCGCACCTAGTTAAATAATTTTTTCCCCACATTATTTGGTTAGTCTAGTTCATACTTTATGCATACTTGAAAATGCATTGAATAGCCATCCGGATTGGACTAAGAATGTTTGTAGAGCAAGCAATTGTTCCAAAATCCAGGAGGTGTTCTGACTGATGATGTTTGACCAATAATGAGCCAATTGTTCTTCTTCTTCTTCTTCTTCTGTTTCTTCTATACAATTGTTTTCTTAACTACGAATCTGCTGTATATTAAGTTTCATTACACGTCGATGATATCATCGGTTTCCATCATTCCAGCTATTGTTTGTCTTCTAAATTGTCTGTTCTTTTGTTCTTCCATAAACTGATAATTGTTCAGGATGCTGATTTAGATTTCATGTAGATGATCTGGGCATGCTAGACATAGATTTATTGTTTGCCACCCACACAATGAAGTCTGCGATGCTGCTGATTCATCATGATTCTCAAGTGGATCATTGCCCTAAATGAATTGAGAATCCTATGAATCAACGGAAAGCAGGAAAGAAAATTAGTAGCTATCATTAATTGAACATTCCACAATATGAACATGATTTTAATTGGATCACCATTGATCTCAAAAAAGGAAAGCTTAAGCTATTAAAAAGCTAAAACATTTTCGAATTCCCATTATTACATAATCTGTAGCAAATTAGTAGTGGATGATGATTAGGGAAGAGATACACTCGTAAGCTCATGCCATCACCGATTAGGTTTTCATATATGTAAAGACACACTACTCGGTGTGTGTGGCTACCAAAAAGCCATGCATGGCATACATAACATGAGCGCTTAATTAGAAGACTAGACTATATATATATACACTTGTGGTTCGTAGGATGGGTTGGTTACATAACAGAGCAAGCATTGGGGTTCTCGTCACTGAAGGTTTGAGGCGTATAAGCGTACTCCACATAATCCCGAGAAGAAGGCCAATACTCGTACTTGCTGATGTCGTCCTTCATTCCGTCCTCTTCTTTCTTCTCTTCCTCCTCCTCTCGCATCTTTTCCTCGTCGCCATTCTCGTCCTTCTTCTCCCCCTCTTCCTCCTTCTTCTCCTCCTCCGGCACGATGGAAGCCTGCTTCCTCGTCCTCCTGTGCACGTTCTCCGCCAATGTCACTGGGTCTATGAATCCTGTGACGATCACTTGACTGCTGGCCAAGTCCGTGGCCACCGACTCCACACCTACGAGCAATCCAATGAGTTCGTGATCTGACAAGAAACTGCTGTTATTAGTGCCTGGTAAGGTCTGCTCACCGTCCATCTTCTTGATGCGCTTCTGCAGCACTTGAGCACACCTCTCGCAGTGCATTCTGACCTTGAGAATGACCGTGATCGGCTTCGGCTGCATCCATGGGAAGGACGGATGTGGAACGAGGTTTTACACTGGGAGGGTCGTCGGTAATAATAATATACTTGGAGAAGACGATAGTGGTTACCTCTTCTTTCGTCTCTTCTGGTGGGGCTTCGGCCTCCTCTTTCTTCTCCTCCTCCTCGGGGGGTTTTGGGAGGGGAGAGATGAGCTCGACCTTCTTGCCTGTCTTCTTCTGAATTCTCTCACATATCTTTGCTGGATCCGCTGCCTTCCCCTTGATCACCACTGTTCGAGACTTGCAGTCTGTCTTCACATCCTCCACTCCTGTTTTCATTTTAGATGAAGCTAATGATTCTCTCAGTATTATTTGATCTCTTTGTTGATCGTTGCAATACTACTTTCCAGTAAAGAGAGAGAGAGAGAGATTCTTACCTTCGAATCGTCTTAGCGATCGCTCAACTTTTCTTGCACAGCCCTCGCAGTGCATGTCCACTTTGAGAACAATCTCCGGGGGCTCCTCCTCTGCTGCCTCTTCTTTGTTCTCTTCTTCCTTTTGCTCCTTCACAGTCACAAGTATTTGCAGGACTTCAGCAAACAGATTTAGAGACACGAAAACCACTATATGTTGATAAACTCAATCGCTTAAAGCATTCAGACTTAAGTTAGTTGAAGCATATAAAAATCCTCTTAAGATCTCTAGAATTCACTGCTGTTATTGGACAACAGTGCAGGATGGAACTTACTTCGCCCATAATAATACTTGATCTGAGTTCTTCGGATCCAAATGAGAGAGAGAGAGAGAGAGCTTGGCTTCTCAGTATATATTTTCTAGCCTTGTAATAGATGTTTGAAGAGCTGGAAGGGTATATATAGGCATGAACAGGGGAGGGTGGGAGATTGTGCTATGTTGTCTGGTGGTACCGACCGTGAGGGAATATTAACGTCATGCAGCATGAAGTCTCTTTCTATCTTCAAGAAAGAGAAGCCACGCATCTCTCTTTGCCCACTGCAGGATAAGCATCGGCCACACTCGATAAAGTACCTTCACCTTTGTTAAGGCCTTCCTAATCGAATTCAAAGCCAATCATGCTACCAGAGAGAGAGAGACAGAGAGTGGGTGGGGAAGACTTATCGCCATAGATTCCGAGGAGCCAATCGTTCAGAGAGGGCGGGGGGGAGAGAGAACTCCCCAACGTGTGGACAAACCCCCACTGGTAGCTCATCGGTATTGGGCGAAAGAGACCGGAGCCCGCGGGGCCCAGAGCCTTGCGACCAATGGGTGGCTCGCAGGCTTGGCGATAAGCATCGCCCCGCCGAGTCCTCCTCATCCGGGGTGGTGGAGCAGAACAAAGCGGCCGGAGATAAAAGAGACGGAGGAGGGCGACAGACTTTTGGGTCTTTACGTGACCATCGGAGAGAATCTCACAAAGTCGATGGTGGGGGCCCCACGAGCACGCCGTTTTGTCACGTCTTTATGAGAATATTCCTGTGGGTTTCGCGACCACGTGAACGTTCATACGTAGCATTCACGAGTCCCCAAAGCTACTCGAATTTAATGGGATGACATGTTGACTTCACGCTCTCGCGGTCAACATATGCTAATCGGTGACTGATTCATAACAATGTCTCTGATTGATTGAAATCATATTGACAGACTCGATTCATATGGTTCGAAGTCGTACTTTCATGTTCATAGTATATATTAGCATATTGTTTTTGTAATCATATAATTCATACGTCGGTAATTACGTTTTCTTAGGGTCTCCATGCACATTAGCTTTCATATACTGAGCATCCATGTTGATCTCTGCAGTCTTCCCTCTCCATTCTATCTTTGTGGCAATTAAGTTCATGACGGTATGCATCAATGAATTTGTTCTAGTTGTTCTCTCTTTGAATCTTCTAGCTTTTAGATCTTCCTAGTTGGGTAAAAGATAGCAGCAGAGAACCCTTCACCGAAAGTGTCATGGTGAGGATTCTGATGCTACTTGGCCATGTTTTACTTGCACACACTCTAATTTGCCACTGATGTGATAAGTTCAATTGCCTCGGTTCGAGTTCTTCCTGTAACCCAAGGATCGAGCTGTGAACATATACATATAGGTTTATCCAGGAACCCTAATCCATAGTTTGAGCATGTAAATGAGAAGATGGAGGCTTCTTCCTCTTTGCAGTGTGTGCAAAATATGCTTCATTCACAAGCCTTTTTATCACACATCAAGTAGTCCAAGCAAAGCAGGAAAACACAAATGATCCATAGGTAGAGTCCCATATGATTCTGGTGTTGAAAGAAGGTGGAAGACCAGCCATATGATTCAGTCTCCTGTCGAAGAGTGGTGGGGAACAAATGGTGTAAACCCAACACAGCATATCTGATAGACTTGGATGTGTCAGTTCATGGCCAAGTTCTTACAAAAGACTTTGTGCTGCTGGTCCAGCCACTTCCATTTGTTGATGCTACTAGTAGAATTGACATCCACCAATCCAAACATAAACATTCACATCCCTAAATGTATATATTCTTTTATTCAGAATAATTAGCTTAATAAACTTAGAATCATGTGATCACTGGTTAACATATCTAAGCTATAATGATAGTATATTGGTTCTTTCATCTTTGACTCTTCAACAGACTCCTCTTGTACACATATATATACATGAAATATTATGGACCACAATTCCATGATAGAGAAATACAAGTTTTTGAAGCTGTTCTCAAGTACTTACAATTCCTCAAACATGACCCATAAAATGAAATCAGATTCCAAGAAGAAAAGCCTTCCATAATACTGCTTCATTGCATTCAGTGATTGTTTATTCTAATACTGTTTGTCTGCATTCTGAGAGCATCTATGAGAGTTAGCAATACACTTCATATTAGGAGTGAGGAGATGACACTGTTGAACAAGTAGGCTTATATCAAGCAAACACAAAGCTTATGTGTTTGACAAAGCACAACATGTAAGTGATGTAGGATAGGAACAACAGAGGTTGACAAAGCAGTGGAACTTGTTAGGATGACAGTACCAGAGAAAAATGATAGATGTCAAGCTTGCCTCATCCATAAGCAGGAAAGCTTGAACTTGCTCATCCGATAGCGGTCTCAGTCCTCCACGAGCACCTGTCTTCCATGTCGACAAGTGCAATCGATTGTTTTATCTTATAGAATATGGAAGTGAAAGTTAGCTGATGAATGTAGCGCAGCAACTGATCATTAGGTTTTTGAGGGCATGATTTCCAAGCATAGGTTTATATGCTTTTAGCTTGATTGAGGTGAACATGGAAACAGAAGATTAGGCTGATCTTTTATTGGCCAAAGTTAGGAGAATGGAGATTGCCGATTGCACAGCTATGAGGAGGTTTGGAAAATGCTTCCTACAGAGTGGCATAAAAAAATTTGGACTTTAGAAAACATTTATACGGATGAGTGATTGTCTCGTAATTTCAGAAAAAAAAATAATACAGATTAAATTTAAAAGATGTTAGAAAATATTTATGTTCGTTGGATCGATGTCGAACCCTAGAATTATTTTTTTAAAAAAATCATCACTTCAAAATTTATAATTTAAAGAATATTTTTTTTCCTATTTGAATTCAAAATCTTTACGGTATTAAATATTTTAAGATCGCATTTTCTTGATAGGACCATAAATAATGAAAAAAAGTCTCTTTCGCTGAAATTTCAAATATATTATAAATGAGTAACTTATTTTAAAATTAAATATAAAATTAAAAACATATCAACAATCATACATACTCATAGAAACATTCAAAAAATCATAAAAATAATCTTCAATATTTGTGAAATATATTTTAAATATCAATAATTTAATTAAAATAATAATATTATTACTTTACTGTGAAATTCATGAATCAAATAAATAATGATAATTTTTATACAGTGAATAAAATCATGCATCGGTCATATATAATACATCTCGATAATATATATATAAATCAAGTAAGAAAGACCTACATCACACTACACTCCCCCAACATTCAATGAATAGATATATTCCACGTGATATATTCCTCTCGATAGCGGATAGTGATAACCTATATCATACTCTCAATAATCAAATAGAGTGATCTCCCTCCCAAATGAAGACATGTTCCTCACAATATTGGATGGAGGAATCATATAATCATTACAATTGACGACTCTCTAATCCCAGAAAGGAATTGCTGCTCTAAGTAGGGATACATAACCATTCATGAGTATTTATTTATATTCATCTATTGTATGTATTCAAATAAATAATATGATAAATTATTATGCTCGTAGTTCCTTTCATAAGGTGTACTTTTGATGTGAATCACTCGACATAATCACCTATACTATATGGTAGTAATTAAATTCAATATTATCAATTTAATAAAAAAATAGTAGAAAATCATTGATCATTTTTAAAATAATATATTCAAATAAAACTTTTCAGTTTATCAAATTATAAAGACATTAGACATTATTCTCTTAATAGTCCCTAATCAACCATAACCTTAATTAGAATAGGTCAATTAATATGAACTAAACTGAATTAAACTATGACCTATTTAAATCGATCTCTAATATTTATTAAACTAGTCCAAAACCACACCCTAGACTAATTTAATTAGATTTAATCGATTTCAATTAAGTCAAATGGGTTTGAACTAATCAAATTGATATGGAATCACCCCAAACTAACTTGAACTAGTTAGACTGGTCTAGTATAAATACTTGAGCTCAATCAAACTAGTCATGTATGTCATACATGTTTGAGGTAGCAGGTTGTTGATGTACAATAGGCTAGACATAGGAGCAACAACATGTCTAGCGTTGGTCGGCTAAGCCTTACCATTGAATTTAGTCATACTTGACTCACAAGCTAAGTTATGCGTAACCACATGAGTTCGATCGTACTTATGGATTATGCTTAGCAATATGAGTTGAGTTGTAGTTAGCCATATGGGTTAGGTTGTTGGATCGTACTTATGAGTTCGTTTGGCCAATCAACTTAATTAAAGTCAAATCCCAAATTAACTTATTTTTATTAAATTAGATTTTAATCTTTTATTAAATTAGAGTACTTTAAAATATTAATAATAATAAATAACCTCAAATTCATTTATTTTGAATTAACTAATTTAAATTCATGATCCCAAATTTAAAACTAATTAATCATAAAAATTCACACATAATTTCTTAAAATATAAATATGTCCAATTTAAATAAATTATAATATTATCAATATTATATTAAATAATAATTTTAACTTTATAATACAATTATCATTATTTATTAATAATAAAATTTTAAAATTAAAATATTATTATGCATCATACAAATTTTAACAATTCTAATAAATATTTCAACATATGAAGAAAAGAATAGAAGATTGGAAGCCCTTTTATATTGGAAATAGAATTACAACTTTTTATTTCTTATGGTTCACACAGAAAAATAAAATTTAAAATAATTATTTTCTAAAAATCATATCATTCAGATCAATTAATAATTTTTAAATTAATTAACTAAATTCGTAACTTGCTCCCATGATTAACCAAGAAACTAATCTTAATCATTTCCTTAACCATATAACACAACACAAACAAGATAGTTAATCATTAAAATAAGGTAACAACACATCAACTATGATTATTTAATTTATAGTAATGGAGAAAAATATTCTGTCGTTACTGTCTTTGGATATAATGAACATCAAATCTGATATTAATATTAATCTGAACCAATTTAATTCATCAACATCGTCGATTTCTAACCCTTTTTTTCAAGTACAAGTCATTGTTGGCGGTGTCATGCTTCACTTCACCTAACTCCTATCTATCTCTAATTGAATGGGTTTCTCTATCTCTCTAAATCTTCCCTTCCTGCTTATGCGTGTATGTTCTTACTGTGAATGTGGTGGTGTTCCATTTCAGTGTAAGCCATCTACCACCATGTCCACAGTGCAAGCATGCTTCGCTTCACTTCACTTCACCGGCTTACAGTTCGAGGCACTGCTCCCGCATTCTTGTCGTGCCTGCTTCTCAAAAGAGATGATCGCATCGCCTCAAATCAAATGACGAGCACGTAAAGCTACGATGTTATGTAAGAAAGGTCGATGAAGGTGGCGCCACAAGGCAATAATGGACCACGCAATGCCAGCCGATGAGAACCCCGTGAAACAGGATCGGATCGAAGCATCACCGGTTACGTTTCAAGCATCTAATATGCAGAAATAACTACTCTCAGATCGTATGTTTCCCGATGGCAGCAGTTGTTCTCGATGATTCTTGGACTCACTGTTGATGCATTAGAAAAAGATGAAACTTGTTGCTTCTGATCAGCTTCTTCTTTGTCCTGTGGTCTTAGACACTCGGATGTTCTTGGATTTGGACCCTCGCTGTCTCGCAATAAATCTAGAGCACAAATTGGTTGGCAGGCGCTGATCTATCTTGACAGCTGAAGCATCAGCTTGTCTCAGGAGTCACCCAGAATTCAAAGAGTTAGCAAAACATCAAGTCGACGAAGTTAATAGGCATGTTATCTCATTCATGGTAATCGATATCAAAATGATCGAAGGATTCAAGTAAGAAATGATTAGCATAAAATTAATGGGTGAGTTTATGACGACAACAACTTCTCTTCCATGTTTCTATGTTTAAACTTGCAGGCTGTGTGCACTGAGGTCGAAGGAAATCTACTTTGTCTGCATTAAGACACTGAATCTCACATGCAACAGCTGATTAGAACGGCTCACGGGTTTGACATGTTGGAAGGGCGTGGCGGGACACCGATCATTGTACGATTGGCTGGTAGGTGTATATATCACACCCTTTCCCTCTCCTTTTCCCTTCTGTCAATCAATCCCGCAGCTGGGATATCAATCTACTCACAATGGCAGAAAAGGTAAGCGATTCTTCTCAACCAGCTTTTACACTTCGTCTCCCCCAGAGAAAACCTTTCTTCTTCTTCTTCTTCTTCTTCTTCTTCTTCTTCTTTTATAGTGTGCAGTTCCAGTGATATTGGAATCTTGCTCTGTCACTCCTGATCACAATGTTCTCTATTATTCATCTCTGTAAAGAAGGTTCTTTTTGTTTTCTTTTGATTCGTTGGTCTTGGATGATGCTTTTTGTTTGATCAGACACTAGATTTTGTTTGGAAAGTCAACATTTTCTCTCTCTCTCTCTCTCTCTCTCTCCATTACTTACTGCAATCTTCATCCTTCAGTGGTGATCAGTTGGTTGGCATAATCTTTATGCAGATCTCAACGTTGATCTTAAAAGTTAATCTCGGCTGCCACCTTTGTTACAAGAAGATAAGAAAGACCCTGCGCAAGCTCCAAGGTAATCGATCGGCTCTCTGCTGCTTCACAACCTCATGATCATCCCACAGTGTGACTTACAGATGAGTGTCTTATCCAGATAAGGAGAACATCAAAAGCATATCCTACGATGAGAAGAACGGGACGGTGACAATCTCGGGTCCCTTCGATCCCCATAGGCTGGCCAAGAAGCTCAAGTGCAAGGCATGCAAGGTGATCGAGGGCATCCAGATCAAGGAGGAAAAGGAGAAGAAACCGGACGAGAAGCAGAAAGCCGAGGTAGCCAAACCGGCCGACAAGTCCAAGGAGGAGCCGAAGCAGAAGAAAGATGATGCGGGGAAGAAGGATGAGCCGGAGAAGAAGAAGGCAGAGCCGGAGAAGAAGAAGTCGGAGCCGGAGTCGGAGGGGCTGCCGGTGGTGCTGACTCCTTACCTGTGGCCACCACCGGGTGCGGTCCTGTGCTGCCCCGGGCCATACTACGAGAGCTACTACGGAGGCACCAGGTGCTGCTCCTGCGAGAAGGTGACCAACCCTCCTCCTCCTCCTCCGCCGACCTACGGTGGGCCCTACTACCCATTACCTTGCGAAATCGTCTGTGAAGAGGACTCATCGACGCCATGCAGCGTGATGTGATCACCAATCCGGCCGGCCGACCGGCGTCTCTCCCCCCCCCCGCCAATCTCCTGTCGGTGTGCCACGTTACAATAAGCACCAGAAGTGTATGGTTTGTGGGATCGGACTATTACTACGACATGAAAGGTTGCGTTATTTTATGTGAGACCGTTCGATATCTTCCAGCATTCATGCTTTTATTTGGGTGGGGGATGCACATTACAGAGGCCCACCAAATGTAATGCCTTTCCAGTAGATGAATGTAGATTCATATCCCCTATACATACGGCATGCTTTGTACAGCCAACGGAGATGATACTCCGACTCGGCTTAGGTTTATGTGTGCAAGAAGTTTGATGTGATCAAAGTTTCAAACATTTTTCTGATGGCGACTCGATCAAATGAATTTTTTGACGAGATCTATCCGATGCTCGAGTCAGTCACAAGACGAAAATGAGATGATTTTAGATTCATGATATAGGTAGAACATTTTTTCGGATTATTATTTTAGATTCATGTTTATGTAACTTGACTATTGACTTAGATTTATCGTTATTATGTTGCTCCTATTAGAGGCTAAAAGAACTATGATGTCACAAGAAAGCGCTCATGACATGTCCTCTTTTCCTCGATGAATAGGTTAAAAGATTGATGATCGTAATCGCTCAGCAAAACGTCCACTCTTCATTCCTCCTTCCTAAGCAAGGCATCGATGGGTAGTGAAGCAGCATTTGGAATACTTTGGAGCCAATCGATTAGTTTGTGGCTTAATCTAATTTATTAGTACAAATATCTAAATTATTACGATAATAATCCTCGAATTGAAGAACATTATATTGGATGATTAGTGCTTAATTATGCATGGATAAAGGCTAATGTTTATGTTGTTTGGGCCGGCAAGTTGAATTGACATCACAGCTCGGTCCGAGTAATAACCGAGTGATGGAAATCTATACACAATGATGAAGTCGTAAGCTGCACACTAAGAACTAAATACACTCATTTTTTATTTTATTATCTTGAGAATTCTGAATATGAGAGGGACCGACACTCGACGTAGGTTTTATTATACGAAAATGATCGGTGTGAGGTTTAATTCACACTTTTTAGCTATACAAATCATATTTAGAGTGCGAATGAGATGGATGTAGACAACCGACATTTGTATTTTGTTTGTGGCCATAACATTTCTTCTTTGGCAATTGCATGATAGAGATTGACCAATTCAATTCAATAGTAGGTTAGATGATGATAAACCAAAGATTAATGCATTTGCAGAAACAACAGCAAAACATTACTAATTAATGCCAATTAATTACGAAAAACTTCTTTCAGAATAAAAGAAAACTCAAATGACGATGATGATGATGATGATTTTTCTAATTTAATCGAAAGTACGATAATGATTTCTCCGACACAAACAATTTTTTTATTCCAAATCTCATCTTTTATATTTTATAAATAAAATAATAATTTGATAATGAGATACCGACTCATTTATCGCTCTTATTATCGAATAATGGATTTTAAGCTGATAAAATATGTGTAGCAAAAGTATATTTTCATTTTTAGTCTCACTTATATTAAATAAAATATATAATAATATAAAATCAATCTGATCAAAATAATCAAATGATTAATACAGACAAAATGAACGGTTTTAGATGTGAGCTTCCTAAAACTTCTCGCATCGGCGATTAATGCCTTTAATTATTTTAATGAAGCTTAAAGTCCATTAAACAGTTTCCTAAAACTAATAACAGCAAATAAGCCAAAAAAACAAACAGAAGAAATACGCTTTGAGATGTATGCCGTATAAAATGTAGTTCGTAACGTGTCTCGTATCCATACGTATACGTACGTACGTACGCGCAGGCCAAAAGAACGCTTTTTAACGTGCGGCGACGCTGAAGTGCGTGTGTGATCGGCCTCCGCGGCTTTGGAGAGGCAGCGGGAGGACGCATCCCTTCCCCCTCGCTCGGTGACCTCCAGTTCGCGCGCCGCAGCAGCAGCCGCCGCCGCCACTGCGGCGAGAAACCATGGGTTCGTGCCTTCTTGTCGCGCCTGAACCCCCTCGTTCATCTCGTCATCGGTTTTCCCTTTCCGGTCGGTCGAATTGATTCCTCGGGCTTTCTGGTGTTGGTTCTTTCTGTTTCCTGCCGGAATCCCTTTTCGTTCGCGTGCCGGTCCGTTGATTCTTTTTGCCCGATTTGTTTTCTTGACCCGTTTCGGATGTTTACTCGCTTCGATGGTGGAAAAGATAGCACCTTTTGGGCTGTATGAATTTGCTTGTGGCTTCGATGTTGGGGTACAGATGGAGATTTGAGTTCTTCGTGGGACAGCGACGACGAGTACGAGAAATTCATCCGGAGAATGAACCCTCCAAGGTGTGAAATTTTGGTTCCGATCCACCCCATTTCTTCTTTTCCTTCTTTGATTTGTCTTGGTGGTTTCGGATTCCCTCATCTGTTCCTCCCCTCTTAGGGTTGTCGTCGACAATGATTCTTGCGCAGACGCAACGGTTATTAAGGTAATTTCCGATGTCGCCCTGTTGATTCCCTCTTGGAGTGCGTTTCTCGAGTTTGTCTCTGATGACGTCTGTCCGTGGCGTTGCTTTTTGTGCTTGGCATAGGTTGATAGCGCAAACAAACATGGGATTCTTTTGGAAGTAGTTCAGGTCCTTATGGACCTCAATCTCATCATCACCAAGGCTTACATATCCTCGGACGGAGGATGGTTTATGGATGGTATGCCACGGGCTTCGTAGCTCTTCTTGGTTCTGTATGACTTCACCAAGATAGAATCTTACTGACTAGAAAGTGAACTTCTTGGATCTTGACAGTATTCAACGTGAGGGATCGGGATGGGAATAAAATTGGGGAAGAAATGAAGCTGAATGAGATAAATGGTTTCATTCGCAAGGTAGAGTGTTCATGCCATTCTCATGCTTTCTTTTATTTCATTGTATTACCAATTGCATCTGATGTGACGATGCTTTGCTCATAGTCCCTGGGGGAAGAATCTTCTTATATTCCGTCGCGAAGGAGATCCATAGATTTCATGCCTTCCTCCGATCACACATCGATAGAATTGACCGGGACAGATCGGCCTGGCTTGCTCTCGGAAGTGTGTGCGGTTCTCAGTGATCTAGAGTGCAATGTGGTGAACGCGGAGGTGTGGACACACAATACTAGGGCGGCGGCGGTGATGCAAGTGAGCGACAAGGGGACGGGCACAGCTATTGCGGACCCGGAAAAGCTGTCTAGAATTAAGAAGCTCCTTTACAATGTGCTCAAAGGGAGCAATAAGAGCAGGGAAGCCAAGACGGCAGTGTCTGTGGGAGCCACTCACACAGAGCGGAGACTCCATCAGATGATGTTTGACGATAGGGATTACGAGAGATCCGGTGAGGATGATGGGAATGTGTGTCACCGACCAAAGGTTACTGTCGTTAATTGGTTCGACAAGGATTATTCGATGGTCACAATACGATGTAAGGATCGACCAAAGCTTCTTTTCGATACGGTTTGCACTTTGACGGATATGCAGTATGTGGTTTTCCATGGAAATGTGGATGCAGAGGGCCCAGAAGCTTATCAGGTACTCCATGCTGGGTTTTATTTTTCTTGTTTTACACATGAAAATAAACTCTCTATTGCAAAAGGTATGACCTATCTTCTCCTTGTCCTGAAGGAGTACTATATTAGGCACATTGATGGGTCCCCAGTTAACTCAGAAGCTGAGAGGCAGCGAGTGATCCAATGCCTTGAAGCAGCCATAGAGAGGAGAGTATCCGAGGTAATCATTGTGCTACAGTTCCAATTCTGGAGATTAATTTGGTTGTTCCGTTTCGCATTTGCATGTTAATAGACTTTGTTCGTGTTTCGTCATTACGATTGTTGTTTGCTCTGGTTGTTTTCATTAGTTGCTTGTCTATGTTGTATGTGGTACCCTTTTTTTTTTTTTTTTTTCGAAGTTCTCTACCCACAGAGAATAGGGAAAGAAGATGTTTAATAGTCAATCATCTGCTTGATATAATTTTAGCTCCATGGTGTTCTGCATTTTTCAACTTCATTCAGTTACATGTTTTACTGTCAGTTGCAGAGGTTTTGCGATTCTACTATTCAGGAAGATGTTGGATTTGCATGTTTTTATCAAGATAAGCTTCAATGTTTTCAACCCATTGTTCTGTGATCCAGTCCTCTTATTTTGCTGGGTTTGACATCAGAAAATAGTAAAAGCAAAGGAAATCACATCCATTTTGTTTTTGTCATTAGCTACGGGGATTATTCGATGTCTCACTAAAAGTGGGTCATATTTCTTTTTCACGCATCTGCTCTAATCTCCTCTATTGATTCATTCATGTCGTATTTCGAGTGTTAACATCACTTATCTTTGATATATGGAACAAATGGCTGTCAGGGTCTGAAGCTGGAGTTGTGTACGAGTGATCGAATGGGCTTGTTATCGGATGTCACAAGAATATTCCGCGAGAACGGTCTGACCGTCACAAGAGCAGAAGTGACCACAAAAGGAGGCAAAGTCTTCAACATATTTTATGTCCGCGATGCTGCTGGTAACTCCGTCGATCCAAAGACCCTTGATGACATACGAGCAGAGATCGGCCAGACGGTGCTCCAAGTGAAAGGCCACTCAGATCACCTCAAATCCCCACAGGAATCTCCTACCCGATTCCTGCTCGGCAGTTTATTCAAATCCAAATCTCTCTACAATCTCGGATTAATCAGGTCTTACACTTAGGCTAATGTTGTTTCCCTGTGTACACTATCATTCATCGACGTTTCATCATTCGGCAAGCAGCTGCTCTGCCATTGTGTTAGAATCCTAAACTTGCTTCCCTCGTCTTATGATTGGAAACATGCTTGTAACTGTAGAAATCTCAAGAAATCCATATCATGTTCATACGAATGTAATTGTAATTCCCCATTTGCAGCTCGTTTCTGTGTGATATGTTTATGCTGGTGGTGATTGAGCTGCCTGTGGCCAACACACCTTCCTCTCTCTCTCTCTTCGGCAGAACTGCTGCTATTGATTCACTTGGTTTCAGGATCCGACAAGTGTTCGTAGGTCAAGAGGTCCACTTGCTTCAACGACGAACGGCCTCGATGCATCCGGCGGCATCAGTGACGCACTCTGACTTGTCCTCTACCTCCAGCCATCAGATGCAATTTGGATTCCTTCGTGTCGTCATCCATTTGCCGACCAAGTAAGGGTCCCACCCACACAACCATCGACCCACCATTGATTCGAACTCCATCGAAATCCCAAGAACCACGATTAAATCGTAATTAATATTGTCCGGGGGATGAACATTGACCCTGTGCAGAAGACGTTGACCAGAACAGGTTATTGGATGACCAGTGGTGCGCACTGACTCACCTCGGCCAACCAAGTTGGAGCCAATGGGGAGCGGCGAAGGTGGTGGCTTTTGGGACTCCGAGCAGATTCTTCTTTGCGTCTCCTTTAAAAATGCCTCTTCTGCCGGCTTTCACCTCCGTGCCAACTGGAAGAAACCGCGGGTCCCACGTGGGTCCTCGGGTGGTAGATGTGGGATTCGCCGTGCATCTCACATGTTTGTTCTGTCCATGGTATGATTCACGCCATAACCCATTAGATTCTTTCTTTTCCTTTCGATCTGAATCATAAAATTTGAGATAAAAAACACTGAATATTAATCATCGAGTTACAGAAATAATATCTTTGTTTATACAGATAAGATCAAGTGAAGTGACAAGTTGTGCAAAGGGAGAATAAAGGAGGACAGCACCATGTCTTCAACCTCAGTACTATGCGTAATTAGGCATCATGGAACAGAGAGACATTGTTCTTGTTTGAAGAAGATGATGGATCATGGTTTGAATGGGTGTTTTAGTTCCACACGGAAGCATGCTTGCCTCAATGATGAGTTTATACAAGCTAAAAAGATCCTCTTTTCCTTGTTTTTATACACATACCGAACCTTATCATTTGTGGATGTTAGTTTGATGTGGAGGTTGAGAGAGGAGAGTGGAAAGAGGGAGGAGAAGAAGTTCCACACTGGAATACGATTGGATGGGTCATTTGATTCCTCATTCCTTGTCCATTACATGTGAGATATCAGAGAAACTACATAGACAAACTGTTTGGTCCTACAAAAAAAGAAGCAAGTATTCCTTCCCATTCCAATCTCTCTCTCTCTCTCTCTCTCTCTCTCTCTTTTCCAGAAGTTCAAATGAGTTAGGATGATATCTGATGAACTTTGCATGATGTATGCGATGCTGAATTGGTGGCTAAATAGAGAAATCATGCACTAGCAGTGACACTTTTGTCTGCAAAAAGAGACAGGTCACTTAACAGGATCATGAACTAATCATACAACACTATGGACATTAACATAAGATCTAAAAGGCTAGTTTGTGGGTAGGTCACACAACTTCTTGTTGGTAGGCTTAAAGAAATATAGTCACTGGGTTTCATAGGAACAGTTGCTTTATTATCTTACAGGAAGAACAAGAAAAGAAGACAATCCCCATCTGCCACTAACAAATCCATTCGAAGAGTGTTGATCTAAACAAGTTGAGTAGCTGCAGTGCTTACTGCATTTTCTGCCACCAAACGATTTGCCAAAAACATGCCACTAAGGAAAGGGACCAATGTGGAGACCAGTTTGACAGATTAAAGCCTGAAGCTTTGAGGTGGCAAACCAATGGCTGATTCATGCTGCATGTCTTTTGCCTAACAGAAGAAACATAATTGTTGTCAATCATTGGTGCCTATACATTTTGCAGTGTGGCCACTATGCAATGCCATCTGAGTTAATTCTCAAATATAAGATTTCTATCTTCGGCTTTGAAAGCTAAATGGGGTCTCATTATACTGTTCTAAGGGATTTTGTATAGCTGTACATAGAAATACGGGGAACAGATGATCTCACAAACATGACAACCACACTAAACAAAGAGCATGAGGAGGATACATAGATTTAGTTCAGGAGAAGATGAAGAAAAAGACAAGGCATCAAGTGGCACCTCTCTCATCACTGCAGCAACTCATCGATGCGATGTAAGACACCCTCATGGCTGATGGAGCTTTAACCATGTTAGCTAATGCTCAGGTTGCCAATGGTGGAAAGTTCTCATCTTCCTTCGACATGGCTAAGCATCCATGGAGGTAAACTATCACTCTTCTTACCGGCACCGGGCTGGACAGGTCGCTCCACTCCAACCGCAGCTCTCTCTGGGTAAGTTCTGCGTTCAAACACAGAAGGTGTTCATCAACAGAGGTTACTAAATGGTTATCTCCGCAAGGATAGCTACTAGAAGAAGAGGTAATCTATGAGACAATGAAAGAAATGCTAGTAGACACTCTACCTGGTGTTGAGGGTGGGGAGAGAGTCTTTAGAAGCCTTGTGATTATTGTCATTCTCCATGATCTTATTTGGATGTTTTGATGCAATTCCAAAGAACAAAACAAAGTTCGTAGACAGAAGCAAGAGCATCAAGTTCAAATGCAGAAGTTTTTCTACTGTACCTTCTTCTCCAGAATGCTGTGTTGCTCTTCCAATGACTTTTCCTGCGCAGGAATTGGGATGGAAACTGTTGTTGCTTGTTATATGCTTATTCTAAGATGAGTGTAATCATCCTAAGATGATTGGAATTGCCAGTGATCTTATGGCAATGTGAATTTAGCATCACAAAGCATACTAACAACATCAAACAGACAATCTAAGATGAGTGTAATCATCCTAAGATGATTGGAATTGCCAGTGATCTTATGGCAATGTGAATTTAGCATCACAAAGCATACCAACAATATCAAACAGACAATCTAAGATGAGTGTAATCATCCTAAGATGATTGGAATTGCCAGTGATCTTATGGCAATGTGAATTTAGCATCACAAAGCATACTAACAATATCAAACAGACAATCTAAGATGAGTGTCATCATCCTAAGATGATTGGAATTGCCAGTGATCTTATGGCAATGCGAATTTAGCATCACAAAGCATACAAACAATAACAAACAGACAATCTACTTAAAACTTTGACAATCTCTCATAGTGATTGTATATTCTCTATAAAAGTTTCATCAGGCTATTCTTTGCTATGTTTTGGTGAAAGGTTTTACAAACTTTTATGTAATATATATTGTTTATTTTTTTTTCTTTTTTTTGCATTTTCAACGATGAAAACATGTTTCATGATCACCATAAATATTTAGATTGATGAGTACAGTTGGGAAAAGATCACAGCAAGCCTTGCCAATTCTATGCGAAAGCAGGATATGAAGCTAAGTTAAGCATCCAAAACATAACCCCAATTCATACCTTATGATCGTAGCAGACATGGCCATCATAATCAATGACAAAATCAAATAGATAATGGATAAAAAGAAGACACAAGATCTGAGAGTATAAGAGAAAATGAACAATGCAATCCCACTTCTAGCATAGTGTGTTGAACTTGCCTTTCTTTGAAGCTCCTCGATTGAATCAAACAGCAAGTGATTCTGTACCATTAAAAAGAGGAGGAATCAAATCACAGCATTGTCTCTTCATCTTCATGAAAACAAAGGCAATGATGGCTCTACTATGCACAGTGTCGCAAAGAAAAGAGTCCATGAAGGAGGCATGCAGCACTACATATTAGTTCAGCACAAAGTGATCGACTCGCCTTTCTTGATCTCATGAGCCTTAAAGATGTATCAAGCTGTCGTTCCAGCTGCTGGAGTTCTTTAAGAGTCAAAGCTTCCAGTTCTTCTCCCATGAGCTGCCTGAACACATTAAAAAGATGCAGGAAAAGAAAGTATCAGTGCATCAAACAAGTCTATAGTAAAGCTGATGCTCGTTTTAACTTGTTTCTGCCATTCCCCGGACCTTTGTCTCTTTTGTAGAGCCTCTACCTTGGCCTTCAACTTTCCATACTCATGGCACCAACTTACCTACACAAAAGATTGACATGGTTCAAGTATCATCACAAAAGAGGTTGTGGAGATTAGCTTCTGATTCTATATCAGCCATTTAATTACCTGCGATCGAGGATCTGCTTCTACGAGAGCTCGTTCTGCATATGAAGATTCATAGTAACGTTGAAGAAGCTTTTCCATGCTACAGGAAAGAACCAAGCCATTGAAATATGCACCATGGCATGCAGAAGCTTCATATACTGAGGATTTGATGCGTATAGTAATTAATGAGAACAAGAAAAAGAGTAGAAAATGGTGAAAATGGAAAGTCTTAGAACACTCAGCTTTCCTTCTTTCTGCTTCTTATTCAATTGTTTTCTCTCCACTCTGTTTTTTTGTTTTCTTTGAAACACCCATAATGTTATATATCTTTCTTGCTTGCCATTTCCTTTTGGTTTTGTACGTAAGTAAATTAATATGTGATAGTTTATTTGATTTAACCTCAGGGGGTTTTAATTTCCATCCAAGAATTATGAATACATAAATAAATGATGCCAAATGCTCCTTCATAATTAGTTTCCTTTCTCTGGCAAGAAAAGATACGAAGCTTGTTCATGTCCATGAACTCTCTCTGGCCACAAAGCCAGATCTAAATCTATGTTACCTCATCGTTCGCGTATGAGCATCTTCTAGTTTATGTGTAAGATCTGAAACTAAACGAACGCATCTGCTTTGTCAGAACGAAGAGGACAAAGAGAATATAGTTGCAGATCTGATTTCTCATGGCCGGACTCGAAAACCTCAGAGAAAGAACGCAGTCAAAGTGGGCCAGAGTGTGATAGCTGAAGTGACGATCAGGATGAATGCAGTCCTAACAGTAATCTTTGATCTTAATCGTCTTGGTTGCACTCAGCAGCTCAGAAACACGAAGTAAGCGTGCATGATCTCCGATTAGCACCGAGCAACATGAAGAGAAAGCATGCTGTAAGATCATCCAAGATGAGTAGCATGGGAGAGGACAAGGAAATCAAAGAACGTAGCAGGAAGGGGAAATCAGAGCTAAGCTCCATCATCCAAGGCGATTGGTTCATGAGGCGGTGCAACGAACGTGCGTACGTACCTGGAGTTGGTGGAGTACTCGTAGAGCTTCCCCTTGGGAGAGAAGATGACGAGGGCGACCTCGGCGTCGCAGAGGACGGAGATCTCGTGCGCCTTCTTCAGCAGCCCCGACCGCCGCTTCGAGAACGTCACCTGCCGATTGATCTTGTTCTCGATCCGCTTCAGCTGCACCCTCCCCCTCCCCATCGATCACTCACCTTCTCCTTCTTCTTCTTCTTTCTCTTCTTGGAACCAAGAACGAACCCTAACAGTGTGCGCTCCTCAGAGAGAGAGAAAGATGAAGGCGCCGTCTTCGCCCTCCGTTCTAAGGGAAAGAAGCGTATCAAAGGCGGAGGAGATGAAGAAGCAACTCCTGTTCGGATCATATAGAGGGATCAGTTTTTGGGCAAACCTGCGAGTGGTTTCGGGGAATTCGTTGTCCATTTGGTAGAGGCGGAAGCGCTATGGGGTCCGCGCATCGCCGGCTCCCATTGGTGGACGCCGCTGTTGGGGCACGGCTCGCCTGGAGCGCCACGTGCAGCGTCTTACGGATTCTGGCGTTCGGCGCGGCTTTATTGGTGGGTTTCTTGGGTACAAAATTCGAGTGCGGAAAAAGAGGGACGATTCTTTTGTTTCTTTCCTTACCCAAAACATTGCATCTTGCGTACGTGTCTGGCAATTGGTAGTGATAACGTCGGGTGGGACCCGTTAGAGGGAAGAGACTACTGGGTAAGGAAACCCGACCCATCATCATCATCACCACATATCTGAGGCATCCATCTCAAAGCGTTGCCTTCAAAAGACTTCTGGGTAACGAAACGAAACCCGACCCCTCATCATCATCGCCGCATATCTAAGGCATCCGTCTCAAAGGGTTGCATTCAAGCTCCAATCGCCATGTTCATGGCTGAGGTCTTCAAGCGGTGGGCGGACGTGCCGACTGAGAGGTGGAGGGAGACCGCCAAGCTGACATGGCAACGACAGATCACGAGTCGGGAGTTCACTGTGAGAGGATCGGGTGGGGTCCTCCTCGCGATCCTGTGCCAGCTGGAGGCAACGTTGGACGGTGTTCTCGACATACTTGGTGAGTGGACTCGTGCTGGAGTGCATGTGGTGCAATAGTCGGAGGACGTGATGGATGGCGCCACGTACATAACAGGTCAGAGAGCTCCAAGGGGACCGCGATGGGGGTGGGGGCTCCGTCCACCGTCTCTCGTTCCAGCTTTTCATCGTTGCTGGAGTTCAAGGAGTACCACCACACTGGGCTGAAGAGCCATGCAGTACCATTAAGCAGGTTGCATGTAGAGAGAGAGAGAGAGAGAGGACGGAGGTGGAAGGTTATTATCAGTCTGCGTTAAACATGATCTCGAACTGGTCTGCGTTAAAGAAGGGAATCATCACTGCAAGTTTGCACAGTCGATCTTGACCTTGGACTTAATGTCTGTGTTAAGATCGGTAAGCCGCGCAGTCTTGCATCTCTTAGTCAAGAAACATGATCAGCTTCATGAGTTCATGTCGAGAAACAGTCTCAAATTTGTGTAGGTGAAATATTTCAGAGAGAAAATGACAAGCGACCTGCGTAGGTTGGGACTGAGAACCAAGGAGAAAAAAGGATATTACATGTAAGACAAATGCAGAGGAACAGAATCTTTAATGTCATATCACTTGAATAACCTGCGAGGGTGTTGATGAACAATGATCTGTTCATTGTTTCCGTGCCAAAGAAGAGAACAGGTGGGCCAAAGGCTAGAAGCTTTGTTGTCCTTTTCTGCTTCAGAGACATCTCCATTTGATTCCTGAGTCGCTACAATTCCAGAGCGGTGGAAAAAGAACAACACTAAAGCTATAGAAAGCAGTGAAGAAAACAGAGATTGGACTCAACTTTCTTGAGCTTCAGATGATGAAGGACGCAAAGAAGCCGTCGAGTACATCGATACCCGATCTCTCTACTTGTATTGTGATTGGCGGCAGCAACAGAAACTACGTCGGACCCGCATCTCGCGCGGCTACACACGGAGGGATTCGGCGACGCGGGTATCTTTCAGTCGGCCAAATTTTTTTCGTTCTGACACTCGCAAATCACTCCTGATGATCTCGTGAGATCCTAACAATCAACGGACGAGATCATCTGAGTTCCTTATTGGGCTTGGACCGGGCTTGGGCCCAATTATATTTCATTTGTACTCGCATTACATCGGATCAGTAAATTGAAATCAACAGTCTCCAGCTCGGCCGTGTCACGCTCCTTATCTCTCAACCATTCATCACCTAGCGGACGGTCAGGACGCGAGGGAAAGAGGGTCAGAGGCACGTGACCTTTGTCCTGGGAAATGTAGTACTGAGCGGGCCCCCCTTGGAGTCTAAACCGGTTGTTGAAGTCAGGTGGCCTCCACATGAACAAAGCGGGTCCCTTTTTCCGCATGGAATCGCGAAAGAGGTAGACAAGTTGGTCAACACCGGCGTTGGTCTGCAATCTCGTACTGCCTCATATAAAATGTGACGCGGACAACCTGATGAAGAAGGGAACGGACACTGATCACCCACCGATACCTCGACCGGCCACCTCTCTCTCTTCCTCGCCTCTGCCTCTGCCTCTGCCTCGCTCCAAATCCCACGCCGCTCTCTCTCTCTCTCTTCTCTCTCCTCTCTCTCTATCTCATTTGAGAAGGGAAAGGAACCCTAAAGCTAAAGTCTTTTGAGTCCTTCTTCTCCCCCTCAGGGATCCGTATTTTGCTCGAATCTCTTTTGGAGATGTGGTGGGAGTTGGTGCACGCAGACGCGGAAGCGGAGGAGACCGCCGACCAGGGCGCGTCGGAGGCTGGCGGGATCTGCGGCCCGGGCGTCCGGTGGGGCCACACCTGCAACGCCGTCAAGGGAGGGAGGTACCTCTACGTCTTCGGCGGTTACGGCCGCGACAACTGCCAGACCAACGATGTTCACGTCTTTGACACCGGTGGGTGGTGGCTCCTTGCGGGGAGCTTGCTCTCTCGCTTTGTTCTCTACTGCGCCGTTTCCTTTGCTTCTTTCTGATTTCGGATAGGGTTTTGATTCGAATGTTCAGCTGAAAGATCCCTTTTCTTGGATTAGTCTTGTGGTGAGTCAGTGTAAGTTGTCAATGTGATCACGAATTTTACCGCGATGATGATGGCGACGATGTTTAGAGGTGTTGGTACTCAAAAAGGATTATTTTTTCTTCATTTTTCTTAGCTAACAGCGCTTGAATTCGAAATATTGTTTCCATAACTTTTTTTTTTGGTGTGTTAAACGCCACTTATCTTTTTAACCCTTCCAAATAAACTATAGTTTCCTTTCTCATTCCTTCTCAAGAAAGCTTTTTCACACGTCGAAGTGAATTTGACTGATGGCTCTTGAATTGCACATTCTTTTTGTCTGCCATTTTCGAAAGTCTACTTGGAGAGTATGTAGATTTCTTTGCTATTGTGTCAAATTGTAAGTCTATATAGGATTTCATCGGATTTTCGAGCGTGTTCGTTAATTTTTGTTAATTTGATCAATCGTCAAATTTTAAATTATTAATTTAGTGTTATTTTGCTGAAATAGGGGTTCTAGACAAAGCTAAAGTTTTTCGTCTTCATGCATTCTAGATTTCACGTTATGTGCCTTCTGCTTTTGCTTCTTGCTGGAGTATTTGTTTTCTTGTTTTTAGAAAAAACATGCCGACATGACCTCGTGTAAGATGTGTTCCACAGTTCAGCAGTCATGGAGCAAACCCATGTTGAAGGGTGTTCCACCCTCACCAAGGGATAGCCACAGTTGTACCACTGTTGGTGATAAGTTGTTTGTCTTTGGGGGAACGGATGGAAAGAACCCTCTCAAGGACATGCATATTCTGGACACCTGTAAGTATTCTCATCATTCACAATCCTTTTGAATGAAACTGCGATGACACTTGATTTTATCGATTTAGACATCTCAAAGGAACATTTTGCTGTTTGATCATTGTTTCTCTATGTGGTTGCTAAACACTATCTTGATGTTTGATCGAAAGAGTTCTATAGTTTACATCGATCTGCTTGTGTGCCCTTCATTTATCAAATGGAGAAACATCATATTATGGTGTTGCTAAACTCTTATCTTGATTCTTGATTGCAAGAGCTCTGTAGTTTACCTCAATCTGCTTGTTGCTCTACGTTTATCAAATGGAGATGGAAAGTTGTCTCTAAGCTTTACACTTGATGCTAATGAAATCAGAAACTTTCATCAGTTTGATCTTTTCCGCTGATCGTATGTGCAGCATCAAACACGTGGATTGTGCCAAACTTAAATGGTGAGGGACCAGATGCACGTGAAGGACATACTGCTGTGCTTGTTGACAAGAGGCTTTTCATTTTTGGTGGCTGTGGCAAATCTGTGACTCATGAAGAGAAGTATTTTAATGATCTTTACATATTGGATACAGGCAAATTTTCTCAATCAATTTTTCTCAACTTTGTAATGTTTTTAGGAATTAATAGGAAATTATTGGAACAAATTTGCATGTTTTTCTTGTTAGGACATGTTTAAAACTGTCTTCATTTGCCATTGTGTTGTTTTAGCTCATTATTTGAATCTGAAGATCCATTTGGTTAAATCTTTGCTCAATATTTGATTTTTTTTATTATATATAATTTATGGAAAAATTCAATTTTTGTTTGTCAAGTTATTGTTAGGTAGCTACTTAAGTTTGCAGAAGTCTATAGTGATGCATTACATATTGTTTTTCTCAAAAGCACTTGTTCTGGTTTGCACATTTTCATGGGAAGAATGTTGATGTTCATTCAATAAAAGTGAGGCCTTTTGTGTTTAATAATAAGTGCTTTGATTATCAAAAAATATTATCCAAGGCTCGTTTAAGTTCCTATCAAGCTTAAGTAGCAGCATGTGTTTAGCACCTTCAATTATAGTTGATGTGCTCATCTTGGTCATTGTTGAAGTATCTCAAATTTGGAAGTACTTGTTTTGTATGGCATTGTAGAGACACTAACTTGGGAACGTGCTGTAACTTCTGGGACTCCGCCTTCTGCCCGTGATTGTCATAGCTGCTCATCGTGGAAGAACAAAATCATAGTCCTTGGTGGTGAAGATTCTTCAGATTTCTATTTAGCTGATGTTCACATACTAAATGCAGGTTTTTCCTCTGAATCCATGTCTTATACATGATAATGTCAATAAAGTGCTTTTTTTTTTAATATTAGATATATATCTCTCATTAGTGATTAAGTTGAAATATTGATGTTAGTGCTTCTCTAATGATAAAACCACTGTGACATTATTCATTGATTTTCAATAGGGGTACAATCTGTTGTCTTAAGGTGTTTGGTGAAATTTAACATTCACGATATTAAGAATGGAACATCTAGTGATATTTTCCTCCTCAGAAGTAAATGACATATGTTAGTAACATTTGGACAAGTTTGTTTTATTGCTTCAAATTATAGTTACTGCATAAATATCAATTTTCTATTTGGAGAAGCTGAAGTTGTTTGTGGAAGTGAATGCCATCTCCTCTAAGGCAACTAATTTAACATGTATCAATCTCCAACAGACACACTTGCATGGGAGCCTATGAAAACTGCAGGAAAGATATTTCCACCACGTGCTGGGCATACAACTGTGGCGCTTGGAAGTAACTTATTTGTGTTTGGGGGTTTTACAGATGCTAGAAACCTTTATGATGACCTTTATGTCCTAAATGTTGGTAAGTAATTTATTGAATAATCTTACTAGTCTACCATGTTTGCTTTGGCTAGGTAATCCATTGAACATTGCATCTTCTGCGGTATGAACTATTAGAACTGTCAAGTTCTTGTTTTGGGATTGGTTAAGGTTCCACTGATGGCAAAATGACATTTGGCATCCTGTGCAAATATTGAAATTTTTGCATCATCTGCAAAGATAACCTTTTTGTTTACTTTGTTCATGTTGGCAATTTACTCTATCAAAAATGCATCCTCTGCAGTATAAATCATTAGTCTGTTCTTTTTTTATTTTTTCTTTGCTTTGGTTATAGTTTCATATATAGCAAGAATAATACTTGACACATAACTTGGAATGTGGCTGAAAACAAAATTTAAAAATGATGATAGTGTTAGACTAGAAAAACCTTACTTAGGTTGTAGGATAACCGGAAAGGATATCCATGAACTGACATGCCACAAAACAATTAACTCTTTTCCTTTCATGGTATATACAAAAGTTAATTTCAGGAAAATATTTTCTTCAGGGTTATGTTCTGACTTATCGAAGTGTTGATTTTATTATTGGAACTATAAATTTGACAGTTAGCACTTGAAGGTAACAAATCTTTAGCTTGAGATAGAAACATGTCAGCCATCAGGATCCCATTACTGCAGTGAGGAACCAGGGTTGCCTCATTTTATATGCTTGAGGTAACATTGAATATAGCACAAAAATAGCTTAAATTATCTAAATGCAAAGTGATTGTATTACAGTTTAAGTGAATTTGAGCAATAAACCATCAAACTCCATCTCATTTTGGCTAAGTTGTTGTCTGGATTAGTAGTTTAACATGATCTTGAAAAACCACAAGCCTTTGAGGTTTACCATACTAAAGGAAATACGATTCTGCATTTGACCCTTTGATGCACAACTAATTGTAGCTTGATGGAATTAGCTGGAGTTATAATGTGTTTGGTTTAAATCTAACACCTATGGATTTTTCTGTGAGCATCGACTTGTGTGTGTGTCCCCACTTACTCAAGATGATTACTTTGGTTTAATGTACTCTTCTTGATCTTGCCTAGTCTTGCAAATGTTAGGTGGCTATTTTGCCCAGCCGTTGACATTACAAAAATATCACCATTCCAAATGTTCTAATTTTTCATAGTTAATTCCCCATCAACAATAAAAGATAATCTTTGCCAACTTTCTTCATTTCATATTCGAATCTCCTTTTCTACTTAGTCTCTAAAAAGGGTGTGCATGCAGGCATGACAATGCCTAGCATGTTGCACATAGTAGTTCACAGTTAATTCCCCTTCAACAGTAAAAGATAATCTTTGCCAACTTTCTTCTTTTCATATTCGAATCCCCTTTTCTACTTAAGTCTCTAAAAAGGGTGTCCATGCAGGCATGACAATGCCTAGCATGTTGGACATAGTAGTTCAACCTTTAATCGTCTGATGTGTCTATCCATTCTGTAATGCAGCTCTAGCATGTTGCACATGTAAACATATTGATATCATCTGAATCTCAAACTGCACGATAATCTAGGCCTTAATATTTTGCAATCTTGCAGAACCTTGAAGGATTTGAATGCTTTTCCAGAATAGGTTGATTCAAGATGTTCTTTAGCTCATCAGACTTCATTAAGATTTACAACAAGACACTTAATCTTGGTGGTTTGGTCTTGTTTCAGAAATTTATATGATGGTCTTGGTTATATCAACAATGTATTCAAGTCTGTAATTTTCGGTTGAAGTGATTAGTTTCTGTCAACTGAAGAGTAAGTGCTTTTCTGGTGGGTATGCAGAAAGTCGTTCTTGGAGCAAAGTCATACCAGAAAACCGGGGCCCCTCTGCTCGATTTTCAGTAGCCGGTGACTGCTTGGATGAAAGAAAAGGAATTATAGTCTTCCTGGGTGGATGTAATAAATCACTTGAGGCACTTGATGACATGTATTACTTGCATACAGGTTAGCCTTTGCTGTCTTATTACAAACAGGATTGAATATGAGATTTTGACTGGAATGTCTACTATGATTCTTTCTGCCATTTTCTACCTCTATGTTTCTTGTATTACAAGCATCTCATTCATTCTTCACCAGATTAATTGGTTTTAGTTGTATATTTGTATTTTTGTTTCACCAGTTGCTATTTGATATTTTGCCAGATATGCCAGTTCTGAATGGACTATGTGATCAGAGACCCGCAAAGCTCTCAATAAGGAGAGAGTTGAGGAAAAAGTGCCGACAAGATTATCTTCCCAGTCAAAGAATATTAAAGAATAATTATTTTTTGAAGAAGCAGATGATTTCTGATTCCTTACACGCTGACCATCTGCGAGAAACTGATCAGGCAGGTATGACTTGATATGTGAATATCTCAATTATGATGGCTTGCAGCAACATTTCAGTTTAAAGTAAAAAAGGTTTTTACTATCAAGTACGCCCTTGTTTTATATCATTCGAGCTGGTATTAAATAAATTAATTCTCTACTATGGAATATATCATTGGAATAATTATACTTTTTTCATCATCACTGAACCTTCTTTTCTATCTGTGATTGTCTGGGGTTGCATCAGTGGTTAGCAATACTAAAGCTCGGTTTCTCCTCACATGTTCTTCAAGTTACTTAGGAAGAATAACATTATACAGATTCAATAACTTAGGTTGTGGGGTTTCTCTTGGTTTAATGCTCAAGATTTATTGAACTGTTGGCATAGAGAATGTTGGATGTAACCCAGCTCTCTGCTCTTTCACAACTATTTTAGGTTGTAAAAACTACATACTCTGGTAGTTAACTGCTCTTTCACAACTATTTTAGGTTGTAAAAACTACATATTCTGGTAGTTAACAGCATGTAAGGAAAAATAGAAATAAAATGACTACTTTTTAAAAAAATTCTAATTGTTATGTTGTTTTTCCTTCATTCTGCAAAGTGATTTATCACTATTAAGGTATTCAAGTCAACATTTATTTAATTTTAATTTTAATTGATGAATGATAGGTAATGAACTCCAAATTTATAAAATCTAAATATATAAATTAAAAACCAAAGTAATTGAATAAGGTGGGTTTCATTTAATAGAGCAAGTTTGAACAAAACTATAGCTGGTTATCTCAGATATTGTTGACAAAACTGTCAGTATTATTTGTAAGTTCTATAAGAATTTATTATAGCTATGTAAAATCCAGCAGGTTGGATGGCTAGATTAATTAGAAACTCGACATGTCTGTAAAATCTATTCCAGAAGTTACTAGGTTGTTATTTGGAAGTTAAAGATTCTTAGTCAGATAGCCTGTTTATTAAAAAAAACTCCAGCAGTCTATGAAACTCTCTCCTCTCCTCTCTTTGTCACATTTATTTGATGCACCATCGTTCCAAATTCTCCTGCATTAAGAGTACAGTGTGGAAGCAAACAAGACCTTGTTTGGTGTTTCAATGACTCTTGTTCCTATATGTAAATACTTGCTAACTCTAATTCTTTAATATCTATTCCAGTTTGTTCTACCACTGATGTGTATATAGATACTGTACTAGTGGATTATAAAAAATAATACTCCACTCAGGCCAACATCTTGGTTTATCATGCTTTCAGTGATTGGAATGTCCTATTAGGTACACGAAAATTGTATTCTTCAATCATTGGCTCTTGAATTGAATTGCATGCAGCTATAAAAACTTGAGATCATCACTAGGCTTTTGCTTTTCATGCACCAAAGATAAATTATATGGAAGCAAGCCAAAATTTCATACTTTTTCCAGTCAGATAGTTGGATATTATGAAATATATGGCTCTGATATTTGTTGCTATGCAGGCACAATGGTATCTGATCTGAAGCCAGCTGGAGAAATTACATTTGAGGCCAGAGTTACGAATTCAAACAAATATGGATATGCAATTGAAACAATCATTGATGGAAAATTGCTCCATGGCATGTTGTTCTCTTGCACATCAAACCTTAGCCAAGATAATCACGCTTACCATAAAAAGTATGAAATTGCTTTCTGTTTTGTCCAACTTTAGAGGTTCATCTCATCTGTCTCTTGCTGGCAAATTTTTGTTATGCTGTAAACAGGAGAGTAGCTGTTGACAACATGAGTGATAAAGGGAACATGGACCGACATATTTGTGTAGCCAATGCACCAGTTGAGGTAAGGAAAAGCTCAGACCATGGGCAGCCTAATAGTTCCAGTGCAAAAGAATCAACAGTATGTAGGCCATTGGTCGAAGCTCCAAGTTCAAATTTGATGAATTCAACTCTTGTAAAGGTATGCCAGTTACAATCCTGCTGTAATGTCACATGACTGTTTCTAATTGCTTTCTTTCCACTGACAACTCATATTGACTGACCGGATGTAAAAGCATTTTTTATTCCCAAAAAAATGTTATGATGACAAACTCCACATATTTTATGATCATAGATTTGCTTTGATTTGTTCTAGGTTGATCCCAGTTCACCCACATAAGTTTGCCTGATGTCCTTAGCCAGAAAGTTTCTAATATATGATATATGCTGTCTATTTTTATATAGTGTCCTCTGTTCGTGTGGTTCCTGTCCTTTTGGGCTTTTAGCAACCATTCATTTGAGAATTTCAGTTACAGGCTTAAAACTGTTGTAAAGGATCTATCAGTTCATTGCCAGTCATTATCAATCCCTTGTTCTCCAGTTTTATATATTTTTTATAATAGCTGATCATTTATCTTGGTTCACGTAATACTATAATAACAACAAGACCATAACGTCCCAACTATTTGGGGATATATATTTTCTTCGGATTGCTTCATGTAATGCTGTCAAAAAAATAAAAAAGACACTGTTGACTAATACTGTCAATCAGCAGAAGTAATTGTCAAGATCTTTTAGATTGTTTCCTTTGGGTTGGTTCCAGAACAGGACCATATCAGCTTCTTTCTACTTGCCATGATTTCTCTCCTATGCACAGGCTCATTCACCAGTGTTATAGTTTGCTTATCTTTCAGATTCTATACTTGAATTATTATGGAGCTTTTTTCTTTGTACATCCAGTTGCTAGGAACTTAAATCTTAGTTTATGCATATAGAAGCTCGAGCAGTCATTGATGATTCTTGATTAGTTAGCATCCCTAACCTATGCTTCTATCTATTATTAGATCAACAACGACTTCTTCGGTCCCATTATCCAGTGACTACTGTTTAGAGCATCTATGTCGGTTTCTGGTTGCCCTTCAGTTTCTTTCACGAGAGTTTTAGGAGTGGCTTAGTGACAATAGATTTTTCCAACAGTGATCTTTGTTATAAGGCTTAATAGAATTATAGAACCACCAAAGAGATGGCCTTTGTAGTTTCTGAAATCACGAAGCAACAATTATTACTTGTATATTGCTACTTCTCCCCAAATATACTTGTGTGTTACATGGAAGCTTTATGCAAAGTGTGATGATTTCAGTCGTCCCAGATCTAAACCTCATATGGCCACTTTTGTCATGTACAAATACATACATACATCGGGGTTGCAAAATTATAGAGATGATTTCAATGTATTAAACTTTCTCTGATGGAGAAATATTTAAATCAATCTCCTTCAGTATGCTTAAAATAAGGAGATAAAAAATTATTTTGGAAAACCCTGAGATAGGTGTGATCCTTTCATGAAGGGAAGGTTTGAACTGTAGTATTGTAAAACTTATTGTTGAAACAATTCTTTTTTCCTTGTATTGGTTGGATTTTCTATGTTGCATGCTTCTATGAATACATTTGATCTTATGGTTCACATGTATAAAGACATGAACTAGAACTCTGTTGAGAGGATTGAGACCAATCATATCACCTTGAAATCAATGATAGGGTCTCTAAATTGGAGATCAGCTCTGTTAAACATGGTATTATATATAAGAGCATTAAGAAAAAACAATAAAATTATGTAATTTGAAAAAAAGTGGTATGTACACCAAAGTAACTCAAAATGAACGTGTACAAAGTATCATACTTGGAATTACAATTTAAGCTACTGCAGTTGATGATTGAAATAATTGATTCTGATATAAACTGCTTATTTTTAATAAACCAGTTTATTAAAACTGCTTATTTTTAAACAAAAAAATTTGAATATATACAAAAGTTCAGTTTATTTTAATAAACCAAACCAGGACATTAAAACTGCTTATTTTTCCTCTGTCGATGTATTTGATAGAATGTTATAAAAAAAAATTGTCGAGATTTTAACCATCATAGATTATATTTAATAGAGCTGATTTTTTATTTAGAGCCTCCATGACAGATTTTGGGGTGATAGGATCAAAGCCTCAATTTTCCTGATAGTACTCTGCCTCAACTCTCTTTTGTGTACTTTAGTGTTGTCCCTGTAAGTAGACTAACTTGCAGGAGCTGGACTTTATTTCCTACAAAATCCACTGATCACTGTCATATGAGGAAATTGAACTTTATTTTCCATAGGCCTCATGGAATGTAGATCAGTCATCTAGAATGTTTATGGACACGGTGAATAATGATGCCTCTGACGGTGCAAAGCCTCCAAATGATCGGACCTTCTCTGGGAATTTGTCAATTTCAGCTGAAGCACAATCCTCATTATTGATTCAAGGCAAGAAATTCATTTTGATTTAGTTTAATTATGGAGCTTTTACATTTATTACCTACATAATGTACTAGAAAACTCTGCTTGACTATAAGCAGAATCCCAATCCTAGTAATAATACACAATTGTTACTCATTGTTCATTGATTACCATTGGAAGTAGGATGGTGCTTTTAGTAGATAGTTCAATATTATATTCGTAACTTTCACACCATTCCCAGGCTATAAAGAGCAGGGCACGACCGCAAGTAATGGACAAACAACGTAGTAGTGGAATTTGAATTACTTGGGCCTTTTAACAGCTTTTGGAGGAGTGAGCAGGTGCAACATACTTACAGGGGAATGGCAATTCCCCTTTGTGTGAAGCTTAAACATCACAGGCATGGTCACCTGACTTCAAGTTGTATGGCTAAATTTGTATCTTTTTTGGTACAAATGTAGAAGATTTTTATATATTTACTTTGAGAATGCACTACTAGTCAACCAGGAGCAGCTCTTCCCAGGTCGAACCCTTCACTGTCATCACTTGCCTTGAGATGATCTCTTTAAGAGTCAAGAAGGGATGTTCATGATCACATTTTTTTTCTACTTGGGACGCTATATCAGACATCTACATTTCTTTCGATGCACTCTGGTGGTGTTTAGTCCGACGAATGAGCTAGCAACAGCTTATCTTATATCTAGGGCTTCCGAAAAATGTGTTTTGTTTAGTAGCAGTTTTTGGTTAACAATTGTTGTGGAGTGTGGCAGTAAATGTTCTGTTGCAGGTGCAAGAACTCATGGAAGCTCATAATGTTGTAGAACAGGACATGTACACCAAGAATGATGATAAATTCCACAAAGATTATGCATGTCTTGATCTGTTTGGCAGCTGAGAAGGGCAACTGATGCATCATCTATTGGAGGAATTTGTGTTTCCATAACAATGAGGGCATCAAGAGGAGAAATCCATCTTGATTTTGTTATGATCTCTGACTTGTCAGATGCTGATAGGAGTGTTTATGGAGTTCCATCTGTTGTAGTTGGATGTGCTTTGTGTTCTTTAGAGCCATTGTCTCGTATCTTTGCACTGTTGGAGTCTTGGAAATGATAGGGAAAATTTGGTAAATTACACAGCCTGCTCAAGTGTGGACAGTCTCTCACCTGTTTGTAAACGATGAGAGTGATGACGTGATATGATTACTTCGTCATGTGGAAACCATAACTTCAAAACGAATACAGAAACAGATGTGGTTGTATTGTGTGTAAGCTATAAAACATGTCTTTTTTGCATGATTCATTAAAACTTATTAATAGATCAGGTTGTGATTGTTCGAGCTAATGCGACATGATTCATTACATGTCTTTTAAGATAGCCTTCTTGCTAGTCACAATTTATGGAGTCAATTCTTGCAAAACTAAGTTGAAGGTTTTCTCAACAACTATCCTTTGGACATTTTAAGTCAATGCTAGAAAGTTCCTTTTATAGGTGACTCTAGTGACGTCGCATTTGACGTCATAATGTCTCTGATTGTGTTGATTGTACGACTTGGATGCTCGATCGATTAGACACATGACACCCAAGTTATTACGGATTTAATTGGTTTTACTAAAGTTGTGTGACATGCTTGTATGTCTGTTCGTAAAGTGTCAGTCTTTTTGAAACATCTTATAGTCCCTTAAAGACCTACAAAAGATAATACAAATTGGACAAAACGTTTAATTCGGGATATACAAACAGTCATAGACAATGTAAATTACAAACATAAGCTTCATAAGCTTTGAACAATCACGTGACAAAGAATCCAAGGTGGTTCACTACGATCAAAAGTCCTTATAAGTGTCCACATGACATTGTTACAGAACAAACATCGAATCAGCCTTAGATACTATCTCAAAGGCTCATCCAATCATATGCCACTCGAGTAGCTCTTGGGTGATGTACCGGTTGACACTTCGCATGACTCTATGGAGCTAAAAAATCCTTAGAATGACTAAAGCAAATCCTCTACATGCTGTGCAAATCATAAACAGCTCATCCAATCATATGCCACTCGAGTAGCTCTTGGGTGATGTACCGGTTGACACTTCGCATGACTCTATGGAGCTAAAAAATCCTTAGAATGACTAAAGCAAATCCTCTACATGCTGTGCAAATCATAAACAAAACCGAATGACACAAATATACACGAGGATTACAACGAATAAGTTAATAACTTTGCCCATGACAATAATGGGTCTATGAGCTCAACAGTACATGTGTCACTCGAATCAACTACCACATGATGATGGGTTCCAGCCACCCATGGCACCCTGGTGGCATTCGACGTGGACAACCACGTTGGCTGCTCGTACAACCACATGTCAACATGTGAATCCCGCAAACCTACCACATCATTCTTACCTTTCACTTACCATGGTAAGATTTCTTTCAACAAATAATGCTTAGCAATGTCATTAGCATCACACCGTTTGATCAGTCATATGCCTACAGCAAATCCGACATTTTTGTATGAAGAAAAAGAAAATTTTGTTTCAAAGCAATTAAATAAGCTCTCGAGACATTTGAAGGTAAATTGATTTGCCATTGTACTCCAAAACTACAAGAAGCATCCCAGTCAAACTCATAATAGTGACCATTGACAGAATGCCATTTCACAAACTGCCACAGAAGCAGCTAAAGCACCTTTTAATAGCCAACTAGAAAGCAAGAGGGAAGGCTTCATCTCATGCAACACTGTAGACTATACCAAGCTGAATGCAACAAGTAGATCAAATAATGCAACTGCTTGATTATTGTGAATATATATAACACACACACACACACAGGAGAATATATTTTGTTGTTACCTGAAAAAAGAAAGGAAAGGGGATTTTTTTCATCATTATATTACCATTAAGGCAAATCTTTTAACACAATGTTAATCCTCTGCACTTGTGTCATTTCTACTTAACGTCAGTACCGTAGCTTCCAAAACTTTGATCTCACTTTGTTTCTTTGAAATCTCCTCCTTCTGGGAGCGCAGTTCTTCCATGTGTAGCTTAAACACATCTATTGAAAATGGTTGAGAAAAATGCATGAATCACTGACCAGCGCAAAACCTTCCCAAATGATCTACAATAGCATTAAGGACTAGCTACAGAAAGCTAAAGGGTTCCTCTTTTTACGGTGACAAGATTAGTGAGCATCGGATGCAGATATATATTAAACATGAGAGTAACATGAATCCACATAAACGAAAAGCGATATTAAAAAAAAGGCTGATATAGATAAGAAATTCATACTCGTAGTATTTTCAAGCTCTCTTGTAAGATCTTTAGCACGTAATTCAGCAGCTCGCTGTGCTGCCTCAGCCTGTCTTTTTTCCGTACGTGCACGAGCTGCTGCAGCAATTGCAGCATCAAGTTCTCTTTCCAAAGCCTCTACCCTCTGTTCAAGAGCCTGAATATAACAACAAAGGCTACTTGATTAAGAAGCCTAGATGAAATGAAAACACGAGCAACTTCCAACAACTTCAGGTAGGCTCTAAAAAGCCTAATGAACAGAAGAAGAAATGCACAAAGACCTATTTAATCCAATCACCAAGCAAATTCATCTACGGGGACAAAGAATGGCTTAAGGCTATCACATAGTCTGTGCAGGAAGTATTATGATGTTATGGCACAACATGAAGCACTGGATAACATCATAACGACCATCACAAAACACAAACACATAACAAACATATGGAAAATGTTATAGAAAAATAAGAATATCTCCTAAAAAATTTCCCAAAAGAACCAATTTAGTATCTGAACTTCAATGTCATGTAATCCATGTTTAATGTGGAGATGAAGGGAAAACAATGAGTTATTTGTAGCAAAAAAAAACAAACAAATTAGCAATGATCTGTATCCATTTGAAATATAAGGGACTAATTAGCGATGAAGTTATGTGTATTGCTTGGAAGTACGAGAGCAGAGACAGAAAAAAGAAAGAGCTGTTTGGGAAAGAACATAAGGAATTTACTTGCTCAGCAGATCCACTTCCCGATGGAAAGGAAATCCTGATGTTTTGAATTCAAATGTATTGCACCTAGTCTGCTTCTCAGTCCTCACAAATAATATACTGAAGGAGCCTCGTACATAGCAGTAATACCACCATGTTTGTTAAAGCGCTTTGTGAGCCAACTCGGATGACTTGTCTATAAAACCAAATTCTTCATGGCAGATTGAGCTCCTACAGACTGAAGAAGTTCTGCTAGAGATCTGAGTTGCCAAACACAACAGATTCTTGAAATACCAAGCACTACCTTCTATCTCATCTCCTAATATCCTTTCAGATACAATATAGAAGTAATTTTCTTCTGTAATTGCATTTCCAACATTCTTCCCATATGCTTCACTTCCTTGATCCTCATCACAATCTCACGACACTAGAAAATTGTATAAAGTGGACTACAAAGATTAAGGCCAATAGTCTGCATCAGGCTAAAAATAGCTCCTTACACATAAAATTTGGGGATAACTGCAGGACTGATAGTAAGTCGACTAGAAGGTCCCTCAGTTATTTCCTGGCAAAGAACCCAAAGAATCCATAACGAGCAGCGGGCTCGCAAGGGATTGTAAGTAGTTTCAAGAATTAACATCTAGGAAGTTCCTATCTTTATGATCAGAATTCTGACAGAATCTTTACTTCAGAAAAGGAATCTGATTAGGTGAGATTCACTATCTGTGTTGATTTTGGCAGGTGATAGAAAAGAGGTTATTAGGTTTCCTCACGAGGCCGAACCTTCAATTCTTGAGGGACGAGCTTAAAGTGGTCGTCGACACCTCAAGTATATGTTTGGACTGAATACAATTCTTTCGCCTAAGACCTGGATTTGCCCAATAAAGACGAGCTCCCAATTATCAATCACTTAATGAAGTAAGCTTTTCCCCCCTACAAATCTATAACCAAGTACGTCTGCACTTCCCCTTCGGTTCAAGATGCTGCCACCAGTAAAAAACCACCAAAAATGACGGACCACAGAATCTCAATCCTGCTACCTACACACAAACATGGTTCTTCTAAGTTTCTCGACGGAAACAACGGAGATTTCAAGACTAGTACACAAATCCTCGACCTAGAGAGGCAAAACACGAATCATATCATAAAAGAACTAACTTTTTGGATGGCGGATACCTTGATTGTGCGACCTTGCTCGGAGGTGAGGGAAGCCTTGGCGAAAGTCTCTTCGTCCACGAAGACGGCCTTCTTGACGAGGATCTTCTGCAGTGACTCTACATTCGTTCCAATCTCCGATATGTTCACGAGGGCCGCCTTCCACCTCTCGCCTCCACCACCGCCTTCGATACCGCCGCCGCCCTTCTCCGCCATCGACGATCGGCCTGCGTGCGCCGGAGGCGTGTGATCTCGCCCGTGGGGGGACCGAAGGTAATCGGAAGCCATCGTCTGAGCCCGCCCAATAGCCCGAAACCACATGATATTGGGCCTAATTGGGCTCCCTTCAACCATTCGGCCCATTTAAGGACCGCGGCAAATATGGTGGCCGCAAAATTGTTTTTCGTGCCACGTTGGAAATAATAATTTATAGAATTTAATGATTTCGGGCCGCAGGTACATGGGCTAATATTGGGCCGTATTCGGCCCATAATGATGATAGTAGATCATAAGAAGCGAGCGGATAAGATATGGAGTGGAGAGGGTGGCGCAGGAGAGGCAGCAAGCGAAGGCGAGAGCAGCGGCGGAGATGGAGAAGTATTTTGGGAATGCCTATCGCGGAGATCCGGGCGTTCCCCACACGGATCCAGAGCGGTTCGTGAACATATGGATCGGGTCCGTGGCCTTCTCCGCCCTCACCTGGATCAACCCTTACATGTGGCAGCTCTCCAACCAGTTCAAGTGAGGAGCCCCTGATCTCTTACTTTCTTTATTCTATCGTAAGGTGTATGATTAGGGTTCCTGGGCCTTTTCTTTTCTGTTCCGTAGATTGCCTTTATCTTTATACGATTGGGGTTGGAGTTCTGGTTCTTGATCTGTATTTTGAATCCCTTGTTCTTGTTGAAGAATTCTGTGGATTGAATTACTTTGATATCGAAAGTGACGAAATGGGAACGAAAAGGGGAAATCTTGTGCGATTTATGGTGGTTTCTTTACCAGGTTTCGTTGTAGTTTTGCTGTTTCGAAGTGTTGTCGTGAAGGAGGGTAGGGTAGGAGGGGGATCTAGCAATGTTTATAGAAGAGGAGAAAAGAGAGCATTTTGCAGCGGCTGCATTGAATGTTTTTGCAGATTTCGTGTTTATTGAGGATAAAAGGTGGTCGTTTTCTACCCTATCTTTTAAGGGATAGGATACGATGATATTGGTGTCACCAATGGGCACGGATAAACGTGTACTCCTAAACAAATGTAGCTTTGATTGACCTTTTTTTGTGTGTATCTGTGTGTGTTTGTAGACATTTCTCTTGGGATGCCTTGTTGTGTTGGGCCCTGTTCCATTCTCTGTACATTGCTAATCATAGATAATCTTGTAGTTTTTAGTTAATGATCTGCATTGGATGTGATATTCAGTAGCTTGTCCAGTTTCACATCTACCCTGTGCAATCGAAGTAACGCTGAGCTTTGTCGGAATATATCATGGTTGAGAGAGAACTGGGAGCCTTTTCTAAGCCAAAAATTTTTCATGTTGGGAACATTAAAACAGCTAGTGTCATATTATTTTGTCTTTTCTAGGCTAGGAATGTTTTGGACTGTCTCAAGGAGGCTGCTAGTTAATCTTACATTCACATTAAGTGTTGAAACATTAAATTTTTGATAAATTGTTTCTAAGAGAACTGGTTCAACAGCGATTTTGCACAGCTTGGAAGTTATACCATCGAGAACTATACGAACCAACCTGACATATGAAAAGGTTTTTTTTTCCTTTATATTTTTGCTTTTTTCTGGTGAAATCATAATAACAGTGAATAAATAAACTTACATAGACTGTGTTTCTCAAATTTGCTCTGATCAAGTACTCCATGCTTCATTTATGCAGACATTTTAAAATCTGTAAATACAGTGTTGAGAAAAGGTGGTTTGAGTTAGAAAACTTGCCATTATATAATTGTCACAAGCAAACATCAAAATCGGATGGTGTTTAGATTATAACAACAGAAAATAAATGGTATCGGAAGACTACAGATAAAATAAGAGAAAGATGAGAGAAAATGAGAGGAAAGAGAAGAGTAATAGAAAGGTGTTGGTGGACAGGTCAAACTTTTTATAAATTTTAGTACAAAAAAACTGAAAATTAAGCTAGTATGTTTCCTTTTGTTTTTTGACCCACCTAGAACTCAGAAACAATTTTAGTTTTCATAGAACATTTATTTGGTGGTCCTCTGATTGAAACTTATAATATCTTGATTGATAGTATTTAAGGAGCCTGTTAAGTTAGTCGATGTGGCTTGCTATTGATCCTAATGAAGCAGAATCAAGTCTGTCCCAGGCTGGTTGAAACATGGCTAAACTCTAGAAGCCAATGATCTCTTCTAGACATAATGCAAAATGTTGCCACGAGCACAGAGAGAGGAGCATCCAGTATAGTTGCCAAAAGATTTATTGTGGTGATTGCATGCCGTCATGTAGATGTACTGAAGTCTTAAATTTCAACCTGGGACGCTTATGTTTGTTAAAGTCAATAGTTCACTGAGCACTTATTCTCAAGTATATCAGCTCTATATTCTTTTTATTTTGCTCATGTCAGAGCTTCTTGATATAGCTAGTAGTCAGTCATGCTTGGAAATTTTCTTTGTAGATTTGTTTTTTTTTTCAATTTTGAAGCAGTTTAATGCGCACATGCTGTATGCTTACCTTTTTCTGCAGCTGGCATGACAAGGCTATGATGTTTGAACACTACCATTGGAAGAAAGCCATGAAGAAGAATGAACCATATCAATTCAAGGTAAGATATTTGCTCTTCCTTTCTTGGTTCTGAATTTTTCTGACAAAATGTTAAAAACCTTAGATTATCTATGTTGAAAATGGTATTCCCGAGGATTAAAAGTAGTTTGATGTTAACCTCCTGTCATATTTCTTTCTTTTTCTTCTGATCATCATTGCATTTGGCATGTCTGTCTTAACTTTTTCTTACTGTATACCGTATAACTATAACAATAGTTTATTGTTTCATAGCATTCCTAAAGTAGGTTGTTAACCAAGAAAATCTTACCTAATATCAGAGCTTTGTGAGCTGAGGTTGGCCAAAGTCAAAAGGACCAATTTGAAGTTTTATCATTGCATGCAGCTAACATGTTGCCATTGGTTGTTAATACATTCTTTATCCTTTTGCCAGTGGAACAAGTACATGACCAAACCACTGCGTGATTCATACTACCACAACTGGCCAGTTTACTTCCCCTAGCTGCATTAGTTTGCTGGTTCTCCATGGCAACTACTGGAAAGTTGGGTTAAATTAGTTGGTTTTGAGACATAAAATAGTGGAAGAATCGAATTCTCAGATACAGGTGTGTGATGCCACTGCATATGTTTTTGTTCTGAACTCATCGCAATCTCTTATCTTCACATCTATGATGAACTGTTGTAATGTTTCAAAGACAACCTTAAGTTTCAGTTTGTAGCACCTACTTTTCATGCAGATCTTAAGCAGTGGTTTCTGTGGACCAGCGTATATTTGCGTTGGAAAATGCTTCTTTGGCTGACCGAATCACCGTATAAACTTTTCGAGGGTGATGTGGCCACAAACCTGTGGTCGGACCCACGTGTATGGGCCCCCACACGCCTTGTTTTTGACAGGCCATTTCACCATGAAACTTTACCGGGTTGATCAGCCAGTCTAATTCTTTTGGGCCTAATTGATCACATATAATATCATTTTGCATATTACTTATTAGATAATATGCCACAAGCAATAGGATTAGGCCGCCAACTCCGGTTCAACTCACCATGTGAATGGAAGCCCAAACGCCGGTCCGGTTCGTCATATTCTGAACCGAATCGAGGTGCGTGCGTGATCCTTGACAGACGACGTTAAGATTCGTGTGGCCCACTTTTTGGCGTGGACATGTATGTTGCGTCTCTCTCAGCCATATGGTGCCATGGTAGGAGTAATGCTTTCTCTCTACCAAAGCCTGCCATTAGACCCCAGTTTCTGAGATTTCATCCATTAGAAGTTTCATGAGCGACTCACACACGTCACTGAAACGCCACACGATATGAATACGTGTGGGACAATGAACGGCCACTCTCTCCCCGGTGCGTGACTCGGCCGGAGCAGCGGCATCGTCCAACATCGAGAATCGGGTCGGGACGAAAGCGACTGAGCGCGGGTAGGGTCAGAGCGGTTCGCGCCAACCGTACCCGGTGCGCGGGCGCGCCTCCGCCTCCGCGACGCCTGTCCCTGCGGGTGACGTTAGCAAAGATGACGTGTCCCGGCAGGTCGAATCCGAGAGAGATCTCGTCTCCCTGTCGCGACAGCGACGTCGGCCCCACCACCCGTCCCGCGCATCGACGCGTGTACCGCAAAAGGCGCAACTTGCCCCGCTTCGTGGCGCACGTGTGCACGCCCCACGTGTCCCCACTTGGCCTTCCTTTAAATATCCGACGTCGCGCAAGTTGGCCCTGCGAAGACTTTCTCGTGGGCCCCCCCTGCCTCGGGTGGCACGTAGCTGGCTCAGAGTTCGCGCGGCCCCCACGAGATTTTTAGATCCTAACCGTTGAGCTCGCATCAGACGGCTGCTCGCACGAATGCGGCATTTGGCGGGGCCGTCGTCCTTCCCCATCGGATTTAAATCGAATTGAGCGAGTAATCACTCGAAACTCGTCCGCAGCGTGGCAGAACAAATATTTTACTGAACCCAATTGTGAACTTGGATTATGCACGACATATGTCACGATGGGAGTGTCGGTCGCGATCGAAGTCGCGAACTCCGGAGGACCGACATGGGGTCAGCGAAACACGTGGCTAGTACGGCGGGTCCGTGGTCTCTCGAAACGTGTCCCGCAAGAGCCACTCCCCTCATCGGATCCCTCGCGTCCCCGAAGAGTCGCGCCGCTTGTTTCGCGACAACGCAGGCCCCCTCCGCCCTAAGCCACGTGTAGGTTGTGGGTCGGTCCGAGGTGGACGCGTGTCGCGCCGTAGAGTTCAACGGCGAGGAGGAGGGCATTTTGGGCAAGCCAAAAAGTTCCGTGAAACACTAGAAGTGGTGACTCCTCTGCCTCCATTATCTCATCTCCGACGTCTTCCGCCGCGGTCGCTCTTCGGACTTCGGTGTCAACCCTCCTTAGCTCTGCGGTGGCTGAAGGGTTTTCCTTTCTTCTATCTTATTCTATTTCATTCTTCTTGCCTGGTCTTTTTCGTGTTTTCTCGTTGGCTTCGAACGCGTATCCGGCGTCTGGTTATCGGATGCGTTGACGGAAAGATCGAACCTGTGAGGAAAAGAAGTCTTTTTGATGGAGTTTTGGCTGTTTTCTTTTCCGAGATTTGGTTTTCTTTAGTTTCGGTTCGATTCTTGCGGTGGACGACAAAGCAGCGGAGAGGGAGAGAAAGCGTTTGGCATCGGGAATGGATAGTTTGTCGAGGGATTTCCTGCGGAGCTTCGCTGGAAATGGCTACGGCGACGAGCCCTTGGAGGCGACGGAAGGGGAGTCCGACGAGATCGAGCTCAGCCTCGGGCTTTCCCTCGGTGGGTGCTTCGGCGTGGACCCAAAGGGGAAGAAGCTGGTCCGCTCGTCTTCGATCGCGTCCTTCTCGTCGCTGAATACTGAGCGCGGGTTCCGGGCGACCCACGCCGCTGCCGCTCTGACGAGGACGAGCTCACTTCCAGTGGAGGTCGAGGAGGAACGGCAAAAGCGGAAGGAGGTCCAGAGCTTGAGAAGGTTGGAGGCGAAGAGGAAGAGATTGGAGAGGAGGAATTCGATCAGGTCGGGGGCAGCAAAGCCCGGAGAAAAACCGAATGAAGATGTCAACGGAGGAAAGGAATCACCGGCGGTGGCGGCGGAGCAAATGGCGGCCGATAATGGCCAGCTTGGATCACTGGGAGGCGCAAGAAATGGCTTTCCTCCTCCCGGCTTGCCATCGGGGCCGGCTGCTTGGAAAAGGGCGGCAGACATGGCCGGCTGCTTTCCGCCAATCTCACAGGGGTCTATTGGATCACAGGGGAGCTGCTCCACCGGCGCCTGCGGCGTCGACGGTCGGCCACCGCAAGGTAAAGTATCCACGTTTGGACTTCGATCAATTGTATTCGATTACATATTAAACACCACCCCTCCCCCCTTCCAACCAAAAAAAAAAGGTTTTTTGAAGTAGATTTTGGTTGTTGCGGTCCTCCTCACATGATCTTTCATCCTCTCCATGATCACCACCAGCTTAATAAAAATAAGAATTGGAGTTGGTAGATTCTTCTTTCCTTCCTTCCTTCCAATAGTGTAGGAACATATTGACAGAGTATACACTACAGCTTCTGTTCAAGTGCATATTATTAATGGTGTTCTTTTCTAATATTCCTTGTGATAGTGCTACATCTTCTTTTCCTTTTCCTTTATGGTTTATGGATAGCTTTTCAGTTGATGATGACCACTGCTTGTGGAAATCCATTGAGCTGGTAATCACTATAAAGGTTCTGATCTCATAGATGTGTGTGTGTAGGGCGGGGGAATCCACGGTACCAACTTGGGTTGCTGATTTGACTTCTTCTTGTATTGGAAGACACACTTCCGTGTCTTATATTTCAATCTGTTCCAAACATTCGTATCTAATTGCAGCAGCATTACTCATATTTACAGTGCTTCAAGCACACCACATCGGTTTTGCTTTCTCCTCATTTCCTACTTGTCTGGTTACAGAGACCAAGAACTCTGTAAGAGGAGACGAAGAGCAGGTGGTGGCTGGGAGAGCCAATGGGGTGAAGGAGATGGAGAGGAGAATGATGGAGAAGATGCCGTTTGTGTCCACCAAGGGAGACGGGCCTAATGGAAGGAGAATTGAAGGCTTCCTGTACAAGTACGGGAGGGGGGAGGAAGTCAGGATAGTGTGCGTCTGCCATGGCAGCTTTCTCACCCCTGCTGAGTTCGTCAAGCACGCCGGCGGTGGCGATGTCGCCAACCCTCTCCGCCACATTGTGGTCAACTCCTCCCCGTTCTTGTGATCATGAACTGTAATCTCACATGAGAAGTGCTCTCGCTTTCATGAAAGTGCTTGAAGTTTTGTTCTGAGCTGTAGTTGTAAGCTTAGAAGCAGGAATCCATTGTATTCATGGATCGAGTAGTCCAAGCCTCGAGGAAGAAGATTTCTGGTTTGACGAGGCAACAGATGCCATTGAAGTGGACCTCCCCGTCTGAATCATTACCTGTGGATTGACATGAACTCCTACAGGAATGACGGCAGTTCCAAGTACGTTTAAAATCCCACGAGTAGTTGATGCATTGACACTCCAAAAGCAATCATGTAGAAACCATGCTTTGCAACTTCGTCTCTGTCAACTCTATGTTGAGGACGAGACTTTCTCCCTTCGGCATTCCCGTGAGACCTCAAATCAGCTTTGGTTGTGAGTCGAGGATGCACTTTATTGCTCTGGCCAGTCTTGAAGCAACAGCAGCAGTACAGCAGGGCATGTCGAAGAATGGTTTTCCCAAGAAGAGTGAGAACCAACTATTAAGCAGCTGTCTCATCATTAAGGTTGAAGGAAACTTAAAAAGGAAATTTAAAATAATTATTAAAGGGCTTTTCTTTTTTTTTAAAAAAAATGTATTTGGATTTTTTAATAAATTATTCTCGTTTTATTTTTTAAGTATTATTTTTTTAATTTAAAATATATTTAAATTATTTTTTAAAAAAAAATATTTGTTATAGTATCTTTATTTTGGTTTGTCATAATGTTTTCAGCACAACAATAGATACATTAGACATTATAATTACTGATGATTTTTTTCTTCCTTAATATAAATCAAAAGATCAAAAATAATATGTTATTTTTATTTAAATTATTATTTTTGTTTAGCATAATTAAAATTAATTTTTTTTAATCATATAGATAAGTCAAGAAAATTATCAAATTTATTAAATTATTAATTAATTTATTTTTTTTAATGTGTGATGTGATTTTTATAATATACAAAATTCGATTTTTATTTTTTGTGTATTATTTATCTTTAGAGTAGATCTCATCTGCTCGTAAAGGGCTTCCCCTCATTCATTCATCATCCAATTGGGCAGTTTGAGGATTGTGTAGATAATCGCAAGGAGAAGTAGGATCCTTTCATTTTTTACCGATTTTTATTCATATTTTGAAATCTTTGATATTAGAATTATTATATTTTTATATGATGCGTAATAATATTTTAATTTTAAAATTATATGATCAATAAATAATGATCGTTAATAATAGTTATAATTCATTTAATTAGATATATTTATGTTTCAAAAAATTACGTGTGAATTTATATAATTTAATTAGTTTTAAATTTGATATCATAAATTTGAATTAGTTAATTCATTAAAAAAAAGGTTTGAGGTTAATTGTTATTTTGTAATATTTTAAAGTACTTTTAAAACATAAAATTTAATTTAATAAGAGGGTCAAATTAGGTATGAGTCGAGTTAAGTTGAACGGCCAGACTAGTACATGTGGTTAGATATAGGCTAGTCCATGCGGCCAAGCATGATCCAATCAATGTAGTTATGTACGATCTAACATAAGTGATCAAGAATGACTAAGTTCATGTGGCCAAGCATGATATAGCCCATGTAGCCATGCATAATCCAACTCAACTAATATAGCTATGTGATCATATACGACTTAGCACATCTTGTCAAGCATAACTCAGCTTATATGATCATGTATGGTTAAACTTATATAATGAAATATGATCTAGCCCATGTGCCTAGAAACAACTCAGCCCATATAGCCAAGCACACCCCAGCTCATTTAATCAAGCATAACCCAATATATATGGTTAAGCATAACCTAATTCACAAGCAGAGCATGATCTAGTTTAGTAGTAAACGTCAACCCAACTCATGAGTGAGATTTAGTCCAACCTACGAAGCTAGGCCCACTCAGTTATGCGTCTAGCGTTAGACATATTATCACCCCTCAATCCAACTCATTGCACCTCAACCTAACTTGCTATTTAAGACGGACATGTGCAGCACACATAACTTGTCCAAGGCTCAGGTGGGTCAATTTGATAGGGAAAAGCACAATACGATATAGTTCAAATTATATTTTTTATATTGGTTAAGCTTGTTAGTTGACTAAACCAGATAGATTTAATCGGTTAAAAATGGTTTCAATACGATTCCAGATCAACTTCACATGTTCAAACCTATTTAAGCTAGTTAAAATTAATCGAATCTAAATTATATCAATCTAAGATGATTTTAAATTGTTTATAAAAGGATTTGAGGTTGGTTCATTATATTATAAGTGAATTGAGTCTAGTTCAAATCAGTTAGTTATCCAATTATGATTCTTATTAAATGATGATTATCGACGTATTGATGTCTCATGTCTTTATTATTTGATAAACTAAAAAGTTGTATACAAATGTATAATTGAAATTAATTATTAGTTTTTTTAAAAGTAAATTAATGATATTAACGTGATTATTACCATATATGACTATGTTAAGTGATCTATATTGAAAGTGCAACATTCGAAATAAGCTACTGGTCCATTATAATGTAGAGTTGAAGTCTAGCAGGTCAGGTCATATATAAAGCATAGTCCCTCATAATATTTTATTATATTATTTTTTAGATATATTTATAAATGAATAAAAATATATAAATGAATAATCATGATTGACTGATTATATATCTCTATCGAGGGTATGTAGGTGATTCTATTCGATGATTAGTGGGCTGCTAGATGTGACGGTTAGACGATCATTTTATCCACTATCGAAAGGAAATGTGTTCTCACTTAGGTGGGTGAAGGATACCACTCAATCTGTTCTTGAGAGTGTAATATAGGTTATTTCCATCTAGGGAGGTATCTATCTCATAGATTGTCTCTTTATTTGGTATTGGGAGTGTATACAATTGGGTGTGATATACTCCTTTATTATTTGATTATTATGTAGATCATTAGATATGTTGCATGTACAAGTGTCTGATGCATAATTTTATTTATTATATAAGAATTATTATTATTTTTTTAATATATAAGTTTTATAAGAAAATAATATATTATTATTTTATATATTTATATATGTTTCACGAGTATTAAAAAATATTTTTATGATTTTTAAAATATTCTTATCAATGTGGTTGCTTATTATTTTTATCTTATATTTACTTTTAGATTAACTTATTACTTTATATTTGGGTGGAATAGATTTTTGGTCGCTTATCATCTACTAAAAAAATAAGGTTCTTTTTTTAGTTAAAATAATATTTAGTGTAGTAAAGATTAAGATTAAATTCAAAGATAATTTTTTTTATAAATTAAATAAAAAATGATGATTTAATATTTTTATAAATCTGGGATGTGACAATAAGATTTATTTGTAAACATTATAAATGATCTAAATAGATTTATAATCTCAATCAAACTAACTATAAGTCAAAATATATTATATTATAATAATCAATAAATAATGATATCGAAAGAAATATGATATAATATCACTCCTAGTGTTTTTCCAATGATACTTATATGTTTTTAGTACATCAATAAAATATTATTAAAAATTTATAAATGAGCTAAATAAAAATACTATAACGATTAAAAATTAAATAAAAAACTGTTGGGAGATATTTTTAAATTAAAAATATTTATTGATAAAAATAGAAAAAATATATTTTATAAAATATTGAAAATAAATATGTTCTAAGAAAATCATCCATTATTCAATATATATTGCTACTTTATCATTTTTAGCAGTGCGACGATCGGATTCTTTCATACAACACTCAATATTTCATACAATCGGATTCTTTCTCGTTAGAATTCCCATTTAAGTTATCCCTTATTGTCGACAAATAAAAATATTCTTGATATTTTCTATAATTATTTTAAAACTCAATTTTCCTACAACTAATGTAATCGAGTGGATGATGTCAATTGGAGTCGTACACGTGGAAATATCATAATATTCGAAGATAAAGGTCAGATATGTCATTTTGGAACTTCGTACGGACTAGACGACGAATCGAAGAGCAGAACAAAACGTCTTCCATCCCTCGCCGTAGATTCCTCACATCCAACGGTCAACTTCCATCCATCAATAATCAACGGATAGGATTCCATCACCAGCAGTACATAAGTCTTAGCTGCTCCCCCCAATCGAAGTAGGGTTTTGGTCGAGTCCCAAAGAAGGGGGCAGTCGACTGGCTTCCCAGAAAAGGTGCCTGATTTCGTCTAAACCCTAATCCTCTGTCTCTTTGTCTCCGGTCCTTTCTTCTTGCTTCGAACTCGTTGAGATCGATCGACACGGCAGCTCGATCTGCTTCGTAATTATATATCGTTTTCTTTTATGTATCTTAAATGTTTGTGTTGTTTAATTGTGATTTTGATCTATGAAAGTCGCTCTTTATGTCGTCTTCTACCGTTTTCTATTACTGATTGGTGTTCGTTGGCATGCCGAGGTTTAGATCTTCCACCGATTTGGATGTGTAGTTATTCGGTTAGGGCTGATAGGTTAACGGGGGGTTTTGATCGGAGATGTTCTCTTTAACATAGGTAAAGGCAGGTATGTCGAGTTCGGCACCTTGACCGCTTTAATAAGATCTCCTGTCATTTGAGTTTGTGCAGCTTAGAAGGGTGATAATGATATGCACAGATTTGAGGTCAATAACAGTGGCTAGGAGTACCAGTGTATCCTTTTAGGTGTTGGATCAATTGTTTTGGGCGTATAACACGCTATCCTTATTTGTTCCAATTATTTAAGTAATTAGCATCGTTGTGGTTATCCTTTTGACATTGTTGTAACAGCGTCGTTGTGGGTGAGGTGGGGGGAGTGAGAGATGCATGGTGCCTATGTCTTAAAAGGAGAAGGATGTTCAGATATGGTAGATTTCATATGTAAGTGTTAGATCAGGTTGGATTTTTTCATATGTAAGGGCGTGGAATCAGTGGCAATTGCAAATACCCCAATGAAGATGATGAAAGTGGAAGGATGAGATGGTACTTTGTTGCCTTTATTGGCTGAAGCAAAGTTCTCTCCTCATGGATTACCTTTCCTGTTATTGCTTTGGTAGTGGAGGTAGACAGGAGACGGGGAGGGATTTAGGAATCGAGCGATGGAGATTAAGTGGGAAAATTGAGTAAAACGACCAGTAGAGGTTGAGGTCTGATTGATGTACAGCCCTAAAAGTCTCAGGTATTTTGTTGAGTTAGTGATACTTTGATGCGACGCATCAACGAGCATGCATTTGCCGATCTCATTTCTAGTTATTTTACTACTTGACAAATTTTCTGAAAGAGCCTTTGTGACAATAGCAACCAAACTCTGTAATTTTCAAGGCTAAGAGTTTGCAGTATAACTGTAATTTTGTGTTACATTTTGTACTAATCTGAGGCTTTCAGTTTTATGTATGCCATCTACTATTTTTGTCAATTATTGATCTTTGGTCCATGTGGACATTGCTTGACTTGCTGGTTTCCTATACTGAACATCCTCAGGCTGCCTAATGATATATCTGAAGTCTAGGCTTTCATAATCGTCATAAATGTTTTGAGATCACCACCTGAATACATAGTTAAGAATCCCAAACTACATGCCAAAAAAAAACGAAACCACTAGTCAGTGTCTTAAGTTACTTCAGCTCTTTTGCTTTTTTTTTTATCGAATATTTGTGTTTAACTTCATGATAATAAGATGCTTTAAGTGCATTCTTGCCCATCTCATTGTCAGGTGTGAAGGATGGCTTTTGCAAATAGAATTGGAAATCTCCTGAAGAAATCTGTAACTTCCAGTCCGTCATTATATCAAGTAATACGATGCATGTCATCCTCAAAGATTTTTATTGGAGGTCTGACATAATGTTACCTGAATACCTTGTAATCTTTGTAATTGAGTTCATGTTTGTGCAACTTTTAATATATTCACTACTTGCTATGCAGGGCTTTCATATGGCACTGATGATCAAAGTTTGAGAGAAGCATTTACTAGTTATGGTGAAGTTGTCGAAGGCAAGTGATAATCTTCTTGCTTATCTATACCTAATTTTCTCTTCATGCATATGAGCTCACAGGCTTTATCTTGTGCAGCTAGGGTGATCATGGACAGGGAAACTGGAAGGTCTAGAGGGTTTGGATTTGTGACTTTTACATCCAACGAAGAAGCCTCTGCTGCCATTAGTGGCTTCGATGGGAAGGTACATACTCTCGACAATTCATTTTGCTTATGAGTTCAAATAAATTGGAATGTCAATCTGTTGCATAATTAGTTTTAAGTAAAGGTAAATAAGCAAGTGCTATATGTTAAGGAAAGCTAGGATGTTAAACATTAGATAGGTGCAAGGGAAATTAGTAACATATCAACTTGAGCAGTACATGAAAAATCCTCTGAATATATTAACATGGTATTTAGCACATGGATAGCAATATGTCTCATTCCACAGCTGCATAACCATGCTCTGATATTATGTTCCTTCACTAAATTCGTGTCTTTTATGATTTTGTGTAGTTTTAAATGATTATACCACTATTTTCCTTATTTTGTTGAACTGTTCATACATAATATGGGGCACCATACTTAATCTAATTAATCAGTACTGCTGTTTGATAGAATAATTTTTTATTTTATCTTTTTATTGGTCATCAAGGAACGTTTGTTTTAATACAATTCATTTATGATTTACTATTATCACTTGAATTTCATTTTTGCCCTTAATATGTCACAATACTTTGGTCTGTGCAGATCTGGTATGTGTATTTTCTTTGAACAAAATAAAATTTTGTATATGTGCACCATTTTATGCCTCCTAGTAGCCATGTCTTATGAGTTTTGTTTACTGAAAAGTAAGAGTGAAATTTTTGACTTTTTTTTAATCCAAATAGAAGTGTTGTTTTCTCCTTTTAAGACATGTTACTCTGTTACATAGATGAAATCGGAGCTTCTATTCGTATATCATACTGGTGTCAACTTTTAATTTGCTTTGCATAAGTTAAAAACTCTACTGTTTTCATTTCATCAAGCTTGTCTAAGTAAATAACGTGGGGCTCTTAAAACAATCGTTGCACTGGAATTTTTGGGGGTTGTTAAAATACCATAAAAGTTTTTAAATAACTGATGATGATCAACTGTAAGCAACATATTTATAAGAAGCATGATTCTGTAACACTGCCTGAAAATTATAAATAGGCGATAGTCTGTAGGATGGAATGTTCTTTATGGAATTGGTAGACCATAACTAAATAGGCGATAGTCTGTAGGTTGGAATCTTCCAGGCAGAGGATTGGGTTGGAACAAAGAAAGATTAGAACATGGAACAAAGAGAAGACATTGATGTCACTGGCCAGTTGTATCGCAAATTTTGTCTGTCCAAATGAAGTCAGACATAACCAACTCTATGGTCTTTAACATCAAATTACTTTTGATTATAAGTTTCCATATACAGATTTCTTTGGAAGTCTAACTAACAAGCGCTGACACAAGCTATTAGTTTCTGCTAGAGGTAGGTAATCCCTAAAACTATGTATGAGTTTTGCTTCAAGCATTCACTGGCTTCAATAGGAAAATAATAAAAACTAATTAATTTGGATATCTTGTGGGATAAATATATGTTCGTCTTTCTTCAGTGTTACATTTTGTCTTCAATTTTGGTCTGTTCTAACGTCAATGATTTACCTTGCTACTTCAACAGGATCTCCATGGCCGGATGGTAAGGGTTAACTATGCCAATGAACGAACGGGTGGGTTTCGTGGTGGTTATGGGGGTGGTGGCTACGGTGGAGGTGGGTATGGTGGTGGTGGAGGTGGCTACGGTGGCAGAGGAGGTTATGGCGCTGGTGGAGGTTATGACGGTGGTAGTGCAAATAATTATGGTGGAGACAACTACAATACTGGACCTGCTGGCGGAGGTGGTGGTTATGGCGGAGGTAGCTATGGAAGTGGTGGTGGTGGTAGCTATGGTGGTGGTAGCTATGGAAGTGGTGGTGGTGGTGGTGGTGGCTATGGAGGTAGTGCTGGAGGATATGATGGTGCCAGTGCTGGTGGTGGTTATGGTGTTGCCGGGGGTGGTGGTGGCAGTGACAACTACGTAAGTGGAGCGGATGGTGGTTTTGGCGGAGGTAGTGGTGGTTATGGACGGAGCAGCGGATTTTACGGTGGCAGCAGTGGTGGCAATTACAACGCTGCTGCAGGTGGTGACAGCAAACCACAGAGCAGTAACTTTGGCAAGGATGATGTTGGCTATGGTAATGACAATCAGGATGACTTGCTGGAGGACGACTTCAAGGGTGATAACGACGATGAGCCTGATGACTACGCCAACAAGCAAAGCTAATGAGGAGCTTCAATGATCAGTAGTAGGAGTAATAAGGTCAGGTAATTGCAACTTCAGAGTCATTAAGCTCCAAGTTTATACGAGAAACCTAAATCTGTGAACTCTGATCTTTTGGCAGAGTGTAACTGCATCTCCGTTGCTCTTTTCATTTAGTGGCACAAACCTATGGATCTGATGATTCAGTCAGATGTTTCTCTGTCGTCGTATTACTGTTCTTGATGCATCTGATATGCTGCATGTAGTTTGGAACGAGTTCTAGTAGTGTTTGAAGCCAGCATGTTTGAATATACGCGTAGTCGCAATTGGCTATTTTTGCTTGCTTAATGCCTCTTCCAAGAGCGAGTATCATGTGAACCTCGTTGCACTCCTACCATCCTTTAATATCTAAAATGGTAGGAGTGAAATGGGGAAAAAGAGTCCTAACATTGCAATTGGAAATCTCATTAAACATATCATCGACATCATATAACGTTCCCATGGAAGCTCTGGTGAGCCCATGCACCCTACTAAACAACACACACGCGGGCAAGCATTGTTGATGCTTCGCTGATGTCACTTCGCGAATCTCTTATTGAACGCAAGGCGGATTCGGTGGTACGATTCAACAACCGGCCTCGTACGCCGCAGAGGTCAGCCTGGGACGAGGATGCACCATCAAAGGCACGGCCCGCTGCAGCGTCAGCCCATAGGCTTCCTCCATGTCGAGCTTCTCCGGCTTCTGCCCCTCCGGCAGACTCCAGTCAAAGGCGTGCACCAGGGTGGCCGTCATGAACTGCACCATCCTGATCCCCAGGCTCATCCCGGCGCAGATCCTCCGCCCGGCTCCGAAGGGGATGAGCTCGAAGTCTTGCCCCCTGAGGTCGACGCTCTCGTGCCCGCCGCCGGGGAGGAACCTGGCCGGGTTGAACTCGAGCGGGTTCGGCCACGACGCCGGGTCGTGGGTGATGGCCCAGATGTTGACGAGCAGCGTCGCGCCCCGGGGAATCTGGTAGCCGCCCACCTCGCACGCCTCCGACGCCACGCGCGGGAGGGACAGCGGCGTGGACGGGTGGAGCCGGAACGTCTCCTTGATGACGGCTTGCAGGAAGCGCAGGTTGGGGAGGTCGGACTCGGTGACGAGCCGGGATCGGCCGACCACCGAGTCGAGCTCCCGCTGGGCTTGCTTGAGGACGTCCGGGTGCCGGATGAGCTCCGCCAACGCCCACTCCACCGTGCTCGATGACGTGTCCGTCCCCGCTGTGAACAGGTTCTGTCATGGAAGCTTCATTAACACTATGACGTGTCCGTCCCCTCTGTGAATAGTGAAGGAGTGGCAGTATCGTAATACGTACCAATAGTAGGGCCTTAATGTTGGTGTCGGTGAGCTTTCCGCCATCGCCTTCACCGTCCGGCCTCTCGGTCAACGCTATCAACACGCTCAACAGGTCCCTTCCGCGGCCGCTCGGGTCGTCCTCCCCCTCGGCAGCCTCCGCGCGGCGGCGGTGCTCCGCGATGATCCCGTCGAGGAACTCGTCGTACCTGCGGTGCAGCCTCTTCATCCTGGCTACCACCCCCTGGGGGTCGAGCCAGTTCAGCCACGGGACGAAGTCGCCGACGTTGAACTCCCCCGCCAGCCTCATCAGCTCCACCACCATCTCCTTGAACTCCCCAGCGCCCTCCCGGCTACCGTCCTCCTCGAACACCCGCCGCCCCATGGTGGCCCTGGCCAGCGCGTTGGTGGCGCAGACGTTCACGGCGTAGCCCAGGTTGACCGGCGCATCGCCGCAAGCGCGGAGCGCGTGCACCAGGAGCCCCACCTCGCCCTGCCGTACCCACCGGAGGTCGTCGAGCGCCTTGGCGCTGAAGAGGTGGACGGAACAGAGCTTGCGGAGCATACGCCAGCGGGGGCCGTATGGCGCGAACACGAGGTCCTGGTAGTTGTAGGCGACGTGCTCGGCGCCGGAGTTGGGCGGCCGGTCACAGAAGATGGCGTCGTGCGCGCGGAGCAGCTGGGAAGCGACGGCCGCGGAGGCGGCGACGACGACGTCCACGGAGCCGAAGCGGAGGCGGAAGAGCGGGCCGTGGACCTTGGCCAGCGCGTGCAGCGTGCGGTGAGGCTTCGGCCCCAGCTGGGGGAGGTTGCCGAGGATCGGCCAGCCGCGGGGACCGGGCGGCAGGGGCTTCCTCCTCGACTGCTTGAGGTGGAGGAAGAAGAGGATTAGGGATGAGAGGCCGAGGGTGAAGAGGCCAAGTAGAATAAGATCCATGCTGCAGTATGCTTCTCTCTTGCACTCGGAGCCGCTTCTCTTATTTAAAAGGACATTGGCCATGTAAGGGGGGTGCAGTCAACAGTCAGCTCACCGTGAGGTAACCTGCGTTACCTTCCATTCCTTTCTCGAAAAGCAGCTCAGATGAGGTGGTGATGTGGCCACCTGGTCGCCTCATGTTGCCCACCTACCCCTCCGCAATTACCATTAATGCTTAATTAATCTGATTAATTTACCTAATACATATTGAATTGTTTTCCAATTATTTATTTTTTAGAAAAATAAATAATCTTACCATAATCTTACTGAAGTCTTTCATTTTTTTTATATATTATTAGTCGCCAAATCAAGATATTTATTTATTATAATATAATAATATCGCCTATTTTCCAAATGGTTGAGATTACTGATCATCAATCAAATTTTTTATCATATAACAACTAAAACATATCTAATTCAGATTACTGTAGAGGAAATTGTGGTGTAAAAAACAATATTGAGCGAAGTAGAATTGAATTAAAGGCCAAAATTTGAGTTTTTTTCTTATAAAAAAATGATGATGAATTAAATCAATGAAATTAATTTGATGGGAGGATACTATTCCTGTCTTCCTGTATTTGGTCACCAGCTCATTAAATGCTTTTCAATGTTCAACTACTTAACGAGAATAATGCTCTCATAATTCTGTCATCAATGGGATTTCTCGAAGACTACTACTCTTATTGGAACATGTGATCGTAGTCTTGCGAAGTGAGACTGCTTAGACTAAATCGAACACAAACACAAATACTATTTACTAAAGGTTAAAATTTAATATATTATATTATATTAAATTTTTTTTAATTTATAAGTATACTGAGAAGATTTCGAATCCTCAATATTTAATAAATAATAAAAAATATTAATTTTATTATGACAAACGATGAGCAATAATGTCTGAAGACGATGCTTTGCAACGTTGAGTTGCAGGCACGAGCTGCCAACCGTTCGCTCGCCGCCTGTGAGGTTGGCAGCCTGTCAAAAATCAAAGGAGTTCGACGGAGACAGCCGCAAGTGGGTTTTTGTCTCGAGCCATCAACTAACCTTCTCTCGGCTCCCCGGCGTTCACGCTCCATGGTGTGGGAGCTGAGCATTTTGATCACGCGTCCTGTCGACCGTCTTCGAACAGTCGCCACCACACCCCACCACACCATGCCTACCAAGTGTTCGACAAAAGTCGTAAGCCCGTCTTTTCTTCTTGTTTTCACCTTTTCGTTCCCGCAGATTCGCATGATACATAAGAATGCTAATTCAATGTTACCCTACAACTATAATCAGCATATTTTATGCAATCTCGGCTGCCCCCCAAATAGAAGAGACATTGACTAATTCTTTTTTGAATCTCCTACTGACTCCACTTCATGTGTCAGATAATTAGAATCCAATTTAATGACACATATGATTTATGTAAGATAATTGAGAGTTCTATTTAATATAAACGATTAATTCAAGTCAAGATTTTTCAGCTCAAATATAATAGTCGAAATTGTTGATAATAAAAAGAAATAATATGGATGAATTTAGTAAATAAAATCTCACTGCTTAACAAAAAGAAATATAAATAAAATTTCTGTAAGCAAATGTATTAATATGCGATACATACGGCCACACGAATATGCAAATGTGGTTCGGCCTTCAGCCAAATGGTTTAATCCAACCGAGACTGAGAGTCCAATAATGGTTCGGCCGCACGTTCATAAAACCCTAAGAGACTTCCGAAACCTCCGTTCTCTCTGTCGGTCGCTCCTCCCTCCCGCGTTTTGAGTAGAGGAGCAGAGAGGCGAGCCGGCGATGGACTTCGGCGTAGCTGGCGGCGCGGGTGGTAGCGAGGAGGCCGCGCGGCGAGTCCGCGTGCGGTTCACCACCAAGCTCGGGCCGCCGCTCCGAGTCCCCTCCGCCCCCCTTGCCGTCCCCTCCAACCTCACCCGCATGGGCCTCTCCGAGATCGTCAACCTCCTCCTCGAGAACGGTAGTCTCTCGTCTCTTTTTTCCTTCCTCTTCTCCTTCGCACCCGGTCGATCGATGGATCCGGGCGCCGTCTCACCTTCTAACGAGAGCCTGTGCCTGTTCTGATGACGCCGTGTTGCAGCTAGCGCCGAGCACGAGACGCAGCCGTTCGACTTCTTGATCGACGGCGAGCTCGTCCGCCTGCCCCTCGAGGAGTTCCTGCTTGCCAAAGGAATCTCCGCGGTGCGCCTACTCTCTTCTTTTTCTTGTTTCCCCTTCCATTTTCTTGGTGGTCGGTGGGCGTGCGTTTGAATTAGCCTTCATCATGTATTGTGTGCTCCAGGAGAAAGTGCTTGAAATCGAGTACATAAAGGCGGTGGCACCGCGGAAGCAGCAGGATCCTCGCTTGCACGATGATTGGGTTAGTTCGGTGGACGGTTCTAATCCAAGGTGCATTTCGTTCATCTACATTTCTTAGGTCTTATTGGGTGTATGTCTTTCTCATGGTTTAGTGGTTCTGATCATCCACTGGTTGTTTCAATGGTCTTTTCTAATTTTATTGGATGGGCCTGTTTTGTTGCTTAAATTGAAATTATGCCTCCCAATTTGGATAGCTGTACTTTATTCACATTTAATTTATATGTCGTCGCGCAGTATGAGTCATCCTGTTTTGTTCTTTACTTGTTTTCACTACATATGGATGTGAAATAGGGGCTTTGACTGCAGAGTTGATATCTTTTTTTGTATAAGCCTGTTGCTTAATGTCTCTTTCATTATTCAGTAATTGCCTCTCTTCTAACTAGTTTCAATTTTGCTGGTAAAAGGATCGAAGCCTTTGTCCTAGTACTAGGTCGAGCTTTGCTTCTCAAGCCTCAGCTATTAGCAAATGTGATATCATTTTATTATTTCAGCTTCACCTTGTAACTTTAATCTGCCTCTTCTTTGTACGCGGCAATGTCATCGGTATTTGTTTTAACTCAAGCTTGTTTGCTTTTGCAGTTATATTTTAACGGGTTGTTATGATGGCATTGCAAGGTAAATTTCCTAATTCTGATTAGCAGCCACATACTTTTATGTTCTTCTGCCTTTCCATCTATCAGGGGGTTAACTAAACATGAATAGGATTTATCATTATCGTTTTTGCTACATTTTCTCCTCTTTTAGGCTATGGAAAGGTGGTGCTTCATGTACACATGTATTAGTAGGGCATAGTGGTGCAATTACTTCTGCTCACATCATCAGTGGAAAAGGTATTGCAAGCTTTGATCATATGCCGATGCTTAAGAACATTTCTTTTTCTTTTTGCACCTTGTGGCTGTGCATATGCATCTATTTATCTTTATAGGTAATTTTTTTAGTTATCACTTGGATGATTCATATTAATTTGGTAGCTCCAAGCTTTTGCAACAGATGAAAGTGAAAACAGGTTCCATATTGCCACTGGTTCAAAAGATCGGACATTGAGGCTTTGGAAGGTAGACCTATTTGTTTTTGAACCCCACTTAACAGAATCTCTGGCCTATTGTTTCTTCTTACACTAATAAGTGTTGGTATCTATTAAGTTTGATGATGCTGAACATTTGGAGCATCCAGTGAATATCAGAGAATATAAAATTCTTCAAGGGCACACATCATCTGTTCAGAGCATCTCCTCGGACCCTTCTGGAGATATGGTATATGTACTTATTTCCTTTGTTCGTCCACCATAACTGGGATGACCTCTGCTGGGGATCTGACGTGTTACAACTTTTCCTTCAGATTTGTTCAGGTTCCTGGGACAGCTCTATTAAGTTGTGGGATGTGAAGAACTCCGAAGTGCTAGGTGACACTGTGTCAATAAAGAAGAGGAAACTGGTCTCTGACACAGAAAATCATGTAGAGTCGCAGTTGGAGGTATGAATGATCCTGTTAACTACTTGCTTTTGTTGATATGCAGTGATGGAGTAACCTTGAGATATTGACATGGAACTTGTTGTACATAACAAGCAAAATTCAAAGACCTGATCGCTTGGTTAGCTCATTTTTTTGGGTTATTTGGTCTAGGTCAAGGGTTGGGAGTCAAGGATCAAAACCCAATAAACTTTAGTTCATATGTTTAAGAAAACTTTTTTCCTGCAATATAGTTGAAAATCCTGACAGCATGTTGGACATGAATGTCCATTTTATCTCCTTAACCAGCCAACACCATCCCCACACACCAAACAAAAGAAACCTACAAATTTGGTCCAAGTATATGAAACTATATTTTGATCTTTTTCATATATGTTTTGCTATAGTGTGCAATTACTGAACAAGTCGAGGATGTTTTTGTTAGGTATGTTTCTAGACTGAGCATATTGTGGAACTTAATATCCGACAAACAGTAAAGCATTCAGGATGTTTCTCTTGTCATGAAAAAATGTCTTAAATTAAGAAGGATGGGTAACAAAAGTAGAAAAAGGAGATCTTTGCTGTTTCGTTGCCTTTTTTTAAAATTGAAACTGACATATTGGACACATTTTTTTGTACCTTTAGGACTTTGGGACATCTGTTTTGTATTCATTCCATATTGTACTATATTGTCAAATCATATGAATCAGTTTAGAGAAAAAGACTATGCCCAGAGAATGATTCCATACGATGAAAGATTATTAACATGGTGGCAGTCGTGTTTTCAAACTACCAAGTAACTCTGGGGCGTATCAAGCTCTAATAATATGTTGAAATTTCTTTCTGGATTTGTGGTCGCTTACTTCTGACATCATCACGAGTCTTCTGGTTGACTGCAGGGGGTGGCTGCCTCAACGCTCATAGGGCATTCACAGTCTGTATCTTCCATTGTTTGGCCAGAACGCAAAACTATATATTCTGCCTCATGGGATCATTCTGTCCGACAATGGGATGTTCAAACAGGCCAAGAGACGTGGAATATGGTAAGAATGCAGAGTTTTAGTCAATCTCAATTACATGGTATATATGATATATTTAATTTTTGGTGGTTGTTGAGTAGTACAGGACCACAGGTTGGTATACTGCTTGATATACTAATACTACCATATCAATCTGATAAGATGTTGAGACCGGCATTGGACTGGTAGTATAACCATGCTCATTCATTACATTGGATATCAAGCAGTATACCAACCTGTGGTCCTGTACTACTCAACAACCACCAAAAAATAAATATATCATATATACCACACACACATGAATTCTATACACACACACACACAGATTCAATGTGCCAGTTCTAGATGATTGCTTCGGAGCAACCTTATAACAGACCCGGATGAATTTTGATTTTTTCAAGTTCTTTAGTGTGCATGCTTGACCCAGTGTGATGTGCATTAGGATACTGACACATAATTGCGAATTTCTTAATCAGCTTCTTAATGCTAATTATCTCCACATGCTTCATGCTTGTATATCCTTATGCATAGGCATGCGGGAAAGTTTTGAATTGCCTTGACATTGGTGGAGAGAGTTCTGCACTTATTGCTGCAGGAGGCTCTGACCCCATCCTAAGGATTTGGGACCCTCGCAAACCAGGTGAAGTAATTGAGAAAACCGTATGCTAGTTGAACCATCTTTGCTTTACTCAAATCTGTGTAAAGAATTGACATCCTTTTGATTTACTCAAATCTGTATCAAGAATTGACATTCTTATTAAACAGGAACACTGGCTCCCGTTTTTCAGTTTTCATCCCATTCATCTTGGATATCTGCTTGCAAATGGCATTGCAAGTCATGGTTTCATCTGTTATCAGCATCTTATGATGGGAAGGTGATGTTATGGGACCTGAGAACAGCGGTACAGTCCTCTCCGACCTTATCTTTTTTTGTACTCATTGTTTACATGAGCTCATTCTTTACACTGATGTCTACTCTTTCTTGTAGTGGCCTTTGGCAATAATTGATTCACACAAAGAGAAGGTAAGCTTAGATTTTGCCTTTCATGGTTGAGCATGAGAAACGGGTTTTGACTGATTGTGTTGTTGGATAAAGGTACTATGCGCCGATTGGTGGAAGAATGACAGTGTTATTAGTGGAGGAGCTGATTCGAAGTTGCTTATATGTTCTGGAGTGTCAATCCAATAAAATGAGTGGTGAGTGCAAATTCTTTTTGTTGAAGGTCTTAACATGTTATAATACCACAAGATGTCCTAATCCCAACTATTTCAGCTAACATGGATCGTTTTCCACCTTTGAGCTGCTAAATATGTTCTTTTTCTCTATTGGTCTTTGAGATCGTAGTCGTACTGTAAATATGTTATTTTATTATGATTTAGTTATATTTGTAAGGATTTATATTGTTGTTTTCTCCTATCCATTTTGTAGAACCTAATCAGGTGGTGCTCTTAACTGATTTGCAGGAGTGCTGATTTCTTCAAAATACACTGTGTCCTTCCACTCGAATAAACATTAAAATATTGCAGACATGAACATTCTTCTAGAGATTTTAACGGCGTCTTCCAGAAGAAAGCAGTTTTAACAAGATGTGTTTAAAGTTTTGTCTGTCTAATGAAGAAGCTTACAGTAGATTTGCTTATAGCTATACAATTGTGTAATGCCCGAGTATATGTTTCTTGAATTTGGCGGCCATTTTTATGAGTGAGATATGATTTTGCAGATACTCTTAATGTTGCATCATTGAACAGCACAAAGCATCTTCCCTTCTTGGATATGCGTGGGAGGTAGACTGCTGATATCGTCATCTGCTAGTACACTGAGAAAGCTGCTCACTTTTTAACATCATTCCCTGTGCTTTCAGGTTCATGTGCTTTGTTTATATTTGTTAGAGCAACATGATAATCATCTCTCATGTTTTTTGCACAAGTTTGCATGTGACCGATGCGATGATAGTTTCATACTTGTGAAGTTTATTTTTCTATTATATCGTATGTATTCATGTTTATTTGTGTGATCTCGATCTTATGCTATGACGAAGTGATGGCTATAGTTTGTCCAGATGTTTGTTTTCGTCAATTCGTTTCAGGTCCCTATTTGACCATAGGGGATTATGGGGATATAGTAGCCTTTGTGGGTGAATATCACAAGGGTACTATCCTGGATGGTTGTGTTTAGCTTGGTATTGTGGTTTTTTTACTTAGTTTTAGTAAGCTAAGATTGTGGTCATCTCATCTCAGCATCCTAAAATTCTTAGGTGGTGATGGATCCCTAGGATAGTATTAGTGATCAATTTAGAACTTTCGAGCTTGTATACAAGTTGAGCAATTTGATACCTAGTTAAGTGATCTTTTTGGGACTAAAACAATTTTTTCAGTGTTCCAAGTTCTTTTTGCTTTTAAAGTGATTCTTGCATTGCTTTAGTGATGTACTTTTGTTTGAGACATCAAGACTTGTTAGTGAATTTTAGTGATGTACTTAGAAAAACTCAACTAAATGTGTTTGTGAATTTTCGTCAATAGACGTTTGTTGTTTTTGCCTTTGATTTCTTGTATAGTTGCTTGGCTTTGTGTTTTGTTTGATTTTTGTATGTTTTATCGTAGTTTTAGCGAGCCTTTGAGGCAACGATTGATAAATAGAGCCAAAATAATCTTATTTTCATATATTATGGATTGATTTTTTTTTTAAATTGACGATACAAATCGTCAATCATCTTAACACATTACTCTCTATAGTTAGTTACATTTAGCATCCTGGTCTTTATATTTTAAAAAGTTATATTGATATTTCTATAGTTACGAAAGTAAAAAAATATAAGTTTATTTATCTTAATTATGTTAGTTTTATCAATAGAAGTATGAAAACAAAAGATAAAAAAGGTAATTTTAATGTTTTGGTGGTGGCGGATAGCAATGTTGTAAGTGCTAACGCAATTATTATTCGGTCCTTTCGTCATTGTGCATTTGTTTCGACGCTTCATCGTTGCGGAATCAAAGTTCGTTGTCAAATCTATCGCGGAGATTTGTCATCTATTGAAGTAGGACTTGGAGATGTGCGCCCCTCTCCTCAATGTTGATATTGTGTCTCTCCTTGTTAGTCGTCTCCTTAACAACCGTCTCCACCACTCGTTCATGGCTTAAGCGAATGCTGGTGTAGTGGTGGTTGAGGAAAGGAGGGGCACGACATTGGCGTGGGGGGGTGGGGGGTTGTTGCACGCGTGTGCATATCTAGGTCCTACTTCGATAAGTGACAGATCTCCCCGATGGCTTTGGCAATGAACTTCGATTTTGCGATGATGAAGCATCAACGCAAATATAGAACGTTGAAAGGGTCGTTCGACAATTGCGTCGGTGTCGATGTCGCCTCCTTTTATCTTCATATTTTTATTAATAAAATTGATATCAATATGATAAATGAACTAAATGTTTCACTTTTATAATTATAAGGATATCAATATAATTTTTAAAAATATAAGGATCGATATACTAAATATAATTAATTGTATAAAATAATTTATAATTAATCCTAATTTCGATCGTCAGTTTGAAAGTTAGTTGGTATACAAATCATGCATAAGCCCAAGTGATCGTATATTTATCCATCGCTCACTTTTGAAAGTACTTAATTTTTTTTATAAATCCTTTTTAAACTTGCACAAGATTACACCTGCGTTGATCTACTGCAAAGAGGCCTCACGAAGCGTACTAACGAGAGGAAGTGTGCGCACACAGAAAGCGAGAGCGAGAACAAGGAAAAGAATCAGTATTTGAATCATAAAGAGTGATTTAAGGTGCCACGAACCACAACTCTATATCTCAAATGCCTTCCCAACCGTAAGAGATTAGACACAAAGGAATCAGTATTGGAAACATAGAGTTTTCATGCATACAACGTATCTCATTACTATCGGACCAGAGAATGAATGGCAGAGGCAACATAACTTACAAATCAATCTCTAGTCTTTTCAATCTTTTTCATACGAAAGGTCTTTGTTTAGTAGGGCGTGTCCAATCACAGCTTCTTTCATCACCCACGCTCATTTAACTTATTCCCCAGAGTAATTCACAATGATATGAAAACAGTGTGTTGAAGATGGGTGGCAAACTAAATATATGTCATAGACTGACACAAAACTAATCATCTCCACATCCAATCTTTCAAGGCTGAATTACGAGCAAAGGCTGCAAGAAAGCAATACACACAACGTTTAGCCCCATCGGAAAAGAAGAGGAAGGTCGTTCAGAGGATTCTTGACGGGATTAGAAAGACGTACCGAGTCAACACTGACTGGTTTTCCGTCTTCAGCAATAATCTCCACCACTGTTCCGGATTGATCAGACTGCACAAAGGGTAGCAGATATGACACACCAGGCATTGTATTATCCCAACCCTTTCAGTAATATTTTGTTTTCTAACTTCTCGAGAGAATCTACATCTCCTAATGCTTTTTGCACAAGGACCAAGAGAATATTGTATTTATTCTTTTTACATGGAATGATTATTTATTTAAACTAATACCAGAGGATGTAAACATGGAGAAATAACTATGATGGATTTCTCTTCACCACCATACCTAAACCTTGACTGGCTAGTTGTCAAGAGTCGATATAACAGGCATTAGAACCAAATAAACTTATGCAAAGTGTAGATTAGAGAAGAGTGGAATGGAGAATACCTCAATTTCATTCATCAATTTCATAGCCTCGATGATGCAAACAACCTGCCCTTTTTGGACCTTGTCACCAACCTATGTGACAGTATTGGATCAGTTTGGGTAAAGAGCAGGATGGATACCAGCTAAAGTAGCAGTCAAACATTCGACAAATTGAGAAATAGCCAAAGATGATGCAGACTATATGAATCAAAAATACAAATGAAATAGTAAAACTTTAGAACTCAAAAGGTTTTACTAGAAAATTACCTTAACGAATGGAGGCTCCCCGGGAGCTGGGCATCTATAAAATGTGCCTGCCATGGGACATTTCAGAGGTGGAATCGATGACTTGCTTCCGGCTGTTGCTGAAGGCGGCGGAAGAGCTGGTGCTGAATTAACTTGTGCAGGAGGGACAGCTTGAGGATTGGTAGGTTGGGGTGGAAGCATAGCCTGCGGATAGTGCATTATCACAGGAGAAGCAGCAACCGGTGGCTGAGGTAAAGCCTCGTGTTTTTTTATTAGGAGCTCACATCCGTCCTTCTTTAAATGCAGTTCTGTTATATCTTTCGAGTCCACAAGCCTGCTCGCACATACAGCAGAGAAGATTATTTTATGCAATTGGTTTGAGTCTTACAAATCCAAATCCTATACTTCCTATGTTGAAATTAGGATTTTAGAAAGTACTAGACATCCACAAGGCTTGGGGTTGTTGAAAACCAACTATTGACTGTGATTGTAGCTCCGTGACAGTGCTTTGAGCAAGAGAGTCAAGATCCGTATCTCTAGGATAGGAAAAGCTTAAGCTTACCAGACATAGTACCTCTCTGGGATATAAATATGTCAGCTTATTTACCATTGGGAACTAATTAAAAAGGTGTGACACCATAAAAAAAGGAAATCTGTAGCAGTTTCAAAATTAGCCATCCGTAGCATAATGTCCATTTCATGCTCTTCTGCTTGTTTATTGTTTCCCAAAGTAAGCAAAAGAGTTAAAAAGAAAAAAAGAAAAGAAAAGATGCACTTCACAAATTTCGTTTTCTTTTTCAACAGTTCAACTATAGAAAAAGTGGGGTAATCTTACTTAACAAGACTTGAAACTTCAGCCATGAATGTAGATATGGTTGAATCTGTTACTTCATTTGGACCACCAGATTCCTCTACGACGCCAGCATCTTTAATCTTTATAGGTAAAGTCTCTGACTTTGTCCATGCTATAGGTGAAGAATTTGATGAAGTTTCAACAGTTACCTTCGAAATAAATGGGGTCATAAAACAAACAAAATATTCTTTTAGCTATTTTACTTATCAGTGAAATCACAGTCAACAGGTACCTCCTGAAAATGAGCCTTTAAAATGGGATAATGTCTACTTGTAGAATCCTGCAGGAGAATTCAAATTCATCAGATTTTTTTTTTTCCGGAGGAAAAATGATAGAGAAGTTATATCTGAATTCTGCTACACAACAACAAAAAAACTCACATGTAACTAAATAAGAAAAGAAAAAGGGTCAAAACTTTTTGAAGATTTCCAAAGTAGGACATTTATTGACAATAAATAAATAAGCAAATGCCACGGATGTTCCCTCTTCACCAATATATGATGAAATTTTATAATAAAAAAGCCCAGAATTGCATCCTACTAAAGCTTCCTTGCCTTATGAATATGTCTTGAAGAACAATGCATGATGCTCCAATTTTTCAATTTTCCATCTTCAGGTTGTATTAGATGATCCTACAATGCTATTATTCCAACTAATGCTCTGATTCCCACCAAAATGGGAACATTGTAGTATCCTAGATATCCAAAACATAAGCAATAACTAATTTGCTGCAGTGATAGGACATCAATCACACTCCTCTTCCTCACCATATTAATTTACTGAAAAAATGCAGAGTGCACCATCCACTTTCAGATCTTAGCCCTTAATATTGAAAAACCTCTTAACCAAGGTTTGCCATACCATAGTATACCACCCGATACGCGGACCACCTGATACGAGCATATACTGCTCGATAACAATCGAAATCCAACAGTTACTGATGGATGACTCGGGTCCATTTTCTACATTCTCCATGCTCAACATCAATACATGCCACAATCGTACTTGCCTCCAGAGCTACCTCGAACACATGTGGTTCATGACGATTAGATTACGATCATCACCACATTGATGCATCAATGACATTCGGTGTATCAATACACTATATCGTGAGATCAATTTCAAAATTGAATCTGACAAACATGTCAAATTGATATATAAATACATAGGATTGAGGACCATGATCTATCGTCCATAGAGTCTCATCGTTCTTTTTAATGGTAGAACCAGATATATATATCGATCAATTATTTGATTCATTTGAATTTTAAAGTTTAAATTGTTTAACAAATAATCTAACAATTTAAATTGTTATTTTTTAGATAATTCAATATCAATGGAAGGATCATCCAAAATGTACCATAAAATTACTCCTAAAAGCTCGAATAAGATATATGTCCTAATTTAGATTATTTTTACTAAAATTATACTGATTTTATATTTATTTCCAACTCAAAAAAAATAATTTAATTCTTTTTCTATTTTTCAGAAATCCTTGGAACTATTTTTGGCCATTATCCTATGTTGTCAGTACACCTCGATATGGAGCGGTATATACTGTACCACCGATCAATCAATACACTGGTGAGGTGGGCGATCCTTACTATTATGCATTGACGTTTTGTCAAATTTACTAGTGTCGTTTCCAAGTTATCTGGCTTCATGACAGGCCTATTCAAATTAACAATATTCACAAAAAACTTTGATATATTGATAAGTCAAACACGACTTACTAAAGTTCAACTACTAATAGTATTGTAGTTTTCCAAAATTGCCCAAGTCATTTCCGATTCCAACATTATAGGTTGCCAGAACAATTAAAGAGATTACTAGTCAGAAACCAGTGATTATAACTTCTAAAAGGGACCAATCAGAAGTATCTCCCCATCGTAATAGGATAAACTACCGATCTAATTGCCGAATTAGTTGTCAGCAGATGGCATTAGTGCATCTACTAAGACGAATGCCAAGCATATCTAGTTAATAATGATGGCAAAAATTGGAAGTCCAATCAAAGAAGTTTCAGAGAGACAACTTCCTCTATCAATGATCAGAAACGATCCCTTTAAAAGAGGCTGACTACCAAGCAAATCACCGATGAAACCAAGCCGACGATCGGCAGGATTTCACGCTTATAATACCTACACAAGCTCAAGTTCCACAGAGTCACCTTCGACGAAGGAAGCCAGGCAGATCCCGAGACCGAAGAGGGCGGCGGATTCGAAAACGAGGCCAAGGGGCTCGACTTAGTAGCCCAATTCCGAGGGATCACAGAGCACTTTGGGCACGGAACAGAGATGGACGCCATCAAACCAGAGATCCAAGATCCGGCAAGGAACAAAGAGTGATCGGATCACGAGCGCAACCCTAGTGGCAGAATGGGAAGCAGCTCGGATCGGAGAAGCGGAATGAGATGGCAGAGGTGAGACGAGAAGGGACGGATCATGGAGCGAAGACATCGGAGAGGGGAGTAGCGGAGATTTAAAGAGGAAAACGGCGGAGCGAACGAAGCGAGGGGCGAGGAAAGCGATGGATGTGATTGCCGATGATGATGATGAGACGTCCGCCCTCCGATCGACAGAACCGATGGGAGACGATGGCCCCATTTATTTCGTCCGGTAATGGGCCCAAATCCAACACGTTTTGATGTCGACTCGCACGTGCCGCTCAGACGCGTTCCCTCGCCGCTCGATCATAGCTCACTTTTAGTACGAACGGTGAGGATAAAGCGGTAGTAACACATATCCATACAAAAAGTGTTATTAGCATTTTCTCCACTATTTTCGTTTTATATCACCATATTTTTTCTTCATTTAAGCTCGAAATCTGAATACAAAAGACGTTTCCATGTTTTCTTCAGAAGCATTTGTCTATCATATTTAAATAAAAAGGAAAAGAAAAAAGAAATATTTTTGTCATTCACTATGAGAGACGAGAAATCGAAAGGGAAAAGAACTGAAAGCAATGTGCAAGAAGCACGAATGGAGAGTTCCTAATTGCTCAATTCCCCTACGCTGATCCCAAAGAGTTCCTAGTTGTTTCATTTTGCGTGCATTGATGATACCTAGTAATGAGAGTACCATGAACCTTGATGGATACAAAATGTTTACAAGTACAAAGCTGCACTTAATAATGACAAACAGTTTGATCCTTAACACAGAAAACAAAAGGAAATTTACATCTCAGTTACAATCAGATCAAACATGGTCACTATGTACAATGACAAGCTTGCAAGCCTACAGAGCTTGTGGAACTTAGCACTGACCAGTTATCTGCACTTTTATGGAGGCCGGACACTGCCAAATGCAGTGTGTCTTAAACTGTTAGATCATTCAGGTGTCAACCCCCCCCCAGAAAAAGTCAATAACCCAAAGCAAATGAGAAATAATCACTCCAATGTCAAAGATCCAGCCAAAATTGGATGACAGGCATTTTGAAAATTCAAATGATACGGAGGTATCCTCCATTTCAGATCACTATACTAGTCTGCAAACTCAGACAAGAGGTCGTCTCATTGGCTCTAGAAATAGAACCCATAGAGTGAAAATGTATTTCAGGCCTATCTGAAAAAGGTATAAATCCTATATACAGAGTCTTGATGTTCAAATCATTACAAAAGTTGGAGGAAAAAAATTAAGCACATTGTAAGAGGATGAATAGAGCATACTGAAGAAGGCATGGGGTAGAATATACTTTGTAACTGCTGTCCAGGAGTCATGTAGAATTTTGAAAGTGTCCATCATCTTTGCAACATTGAAGCACTGGAGTTGACCAAAAATAGAATATCAGAAGTCATGGTCATATATTAGTGACAATCATATTATCTTCTTAAGCATCAGGCTTGTTCTCGCAGCAGTCTCATTTTTCTCTAAAATGAAATGAAGCATAAACGATAGCAAAATAAAATTTTTATCACTTAGATAACGAAAGAATAATTTTTTTCATGGCACTATGATATGAATATGATCAATGTGGTAATATTAGCATGAAAAACAAAAAAAAATACCATGAAGATTTTCTTGGGCGAATATGGAATCTTGGCTCCTTCGGGATTGTTTGAGGCCTTTCTGACCTGTCACCATAATAATGAGAGTCTAGCTTTATTAATAACTAAATAAAATAAATAATTACTAAATTAAGAAAAAGTAAAGAAAGAATTCTTCTATTTTAGTTGAACTGAATCATCCATGAAAACTGTCAGGGGCGACGTCACCAATCACAGATTTTATGAGTGGGGCCCATACATGTGGTTCTCATGCATCAGCTCTTTGAGAGACCAAATCACCCCTAAAATCCATTAAATTGGTGACAACCGTATATAAGCTGTTTTCCTTGCTTGATCTTTATGAAGCTTGGCTAATAAACAGCAAAATTATGTATGCATGTCCAGGAAATACATAAAGTACTCGTGGGCAAAAATCATGAATTAAAGTACTTGTGGGCACCGAACTTACTTCTTAGGAACAAAGGGTCGATCGAAATATGGCATAGGCTGAGCTTTAGGCACAAGCTCTCTTCTGAGTCTCCGTATTTCTTCTTCTTCCTCCAACTATGAAGAAATATCCATGTACACAATTATTTGGCCAAGTATAATACAACTTGACATAACATGCATAGAAAGGACTAAATGGTGAATTCTTGTCATTTAGGAATACCTTTTGCTGCATCTCTCTTTCCGATCTTAATTGTTCAGCAAAGTTTATCCGCTCCATGACCTAAAGAGACATTGAACTTATAAGCAGCAAGCAATGAATCTTTATGTTTTGGCATGGTTGCTAGATCAAAGTGTGGAAGTATGCTAAAATTTTTTGACTATTTATTTAACTGATGATAATAGAGTCCTCTAGAAAGCTTACAAATTGATCAAACTCAGCCCTTTCTGCTGCACGGACATCGCTATGCAACAAAATGTCTATTGGCTCAGTGCTTTCCTTCACAGTGGGCTTGACCAAATGCTAAACATTTCAATAAAACAAATGTCAGCAATAATCAAGAAAGTTTGTTGTAGGTTAAGAGTTGAAGATTCAGTATCTGAATGAAGAAGTGAGTTATTCAAATATTTGATTGGGCAATTAAAGATTCAACTGAAGTTTCAAATCCATGGGTATCTTGCAATCTGTGGTGATTCCAGTTTGATTCTGAAACTAGTTACTTCTTGTTGTTAAAAGATAATTCAACAATTTTATTCATTATCTCCAACAAATATGATAACTCTTAGTACATAGTCTCTACAATTTCTGGCTAATCTTGCTGAAAGCTATCATACACTAGACCTGTACAAATCATACATATAAACCATACGTATAGCAGATACTTCATCATAGACATGCCTGAGTTTCTATTGATTAAAGATCAAACCCATGTTTACTTTTATTAAATTATCATCTACATCTGTCCTTTCCAAGTGTATGCATCATGTTTTACGTTTCAAACATTTAGCAGTCCCTCGACTGTGTTTACATTAATTTGAATCAATTTTAAAAACGATCCTTTCTAAGTGTATGCATCATGTTTTAACTTTTAACTTCAACCATGTAAATGTCTCCATAGGTGTTCTTGAGTTGGAAAATATTGCAATGGTAGCAAGTATTTCTTGGGTGCTTAAAAAATTTGTGCAAATCAATGTGCTTCATGAATGTAGAAAATTCATAAAAGAAGATAGTACATTGGAAAGCAAGAATGTTTTCTGTAGAAAAATGCTATGATCTATTTATGGTCAAAATAATATTCCTTTTTTAGCTTGAAAAGGTCTAAACTGTTTACCCCAAGATTAAGATTCTTTCATTAGTCATCATATCTTGGAGCGGGTGTAAAAGATCAACTGTATGGAGTTTTCA